AAAGACTCCAGGAGTCCGTTTTTTAATTCTTGCATGCCAACAAAAGAAACTTGTTTGCTTTCATTTCACTGCAAAAACCTTGACCAAAAGGAAAAAATGCCCACGCACAGTGCTGTATTCTACTTTTATTAAATGCACAAGCTTTTGGTCACACGACTATCTGCACAAAACCTTGACCAGAAAATAAAAATAAAACCATGGGAATGTGACACAGGTAATATTTTTCTGTGAAATGTAAGCACATTTCCAATATTTCAGTAACATCAGCAACAGTATATAACTGTACTAGTATATGAATATAAAATGAATTGAAATTGAATGAATTCTTTTTATGTCTAAAGTATTCCTTGGTGACAAAAGGGACTTTGCCCAATCCAAATATATTTTCCTCAAAAAAGAAGCATTGAAAGGGGGATACAGTGGATGACAAAATGACCATGGACCACAGTGCAGAGTGCGCCATTGTGGTGTGGGAAAAAACTATTCCTCTCGCTTGAGTCAGCCGCACACTTCATTTTGTGAGCATCTGATTTATTATGAGCGACCTCACCAAATGGATCTCCACGTTATACATCCATATTGTGAGGAATAATTGAAATGCCAAGCAGTCTTACTTTCTCGGAAAAATGTGGATGGGACGGTTGTTCAGGCCAAAAGTACCGTGTGTAATTCATTCTTGCCATTTGGATTTTAATGATGGTGCGATAGGGGTGTGTATGGAGAGTATTTAGAAATACAGATGAAACTGAACCTGTGGACAATTACAGCTAACAGCCAGTCGCTGAAGGCAGTGAATTCTGCATGTCCAGCAGAAAGACCATCAGCAGCCTGTCTGGCCTCTGGCTCACACTGAGTCTACACATCGGGCATCAGGGAATCCTGGGAAATGGATCCACTTTCTGCCAGTGGAGGGCTATGAAATAATAATCCACAGCTCTTTCCTGACAGTGAGCAATAGTCTGGCAGCTAATGGACACGTGTGTGTCTGCATGTGTGTGTTAACACGTATGTAGGACAATGAAAAGTAAATGGAACGTGCTAGAATGTGGGTGTGTGTGTGTGAGAGAGAGATAGAGAGAAAGAGAAAAGAAGATGAGGGTAAAATATAGGCATGTTCAGACGTGGTTGAGTTGCAGTAATATGTAACAGTGTTTCAGCAGGCTATCGGGTCATTTATATGAAGTGTTAAAAGGATTCCTGAAATAACTTCAGATTGTCTTTTTCTTGTTCTGTGGAGGTGCGGTGGTGGGGGCGGACTGTCCTTCTGTCCACGTTGTGTGCATGTGTGTAACTCACACACACTGATGCTGATTCAAAGCTAATGCTGGAGTAGAGCTGCAGAAACCTTCCACGGACTGAACAAGATGAAACAGCACGATCATTCAGAAGTGACTCTGTGATGTGCTCAGAAGCATCAGAGCGAGCCACCGCTCTTCACCTCATTTTCACCAAATTGTGTTTTTCTCCAAACCAATCAGATCTTCCTGAAGTTCAGTTGAAGGCAGAGGAGGAGTTAGCTAGGAAAGGATGTAATGTTGCATCAGGGAGGCAAGGTTTCACTTTAGGGACAAGCTGAGGACCAGTGAGTCTTCAAATGACGAGATAAATAGATTTCAGAGCTTCTAGGAACTTCTACTAATGGCACTGTGGAGCTATGATGGCAACTGGAGAGTGGAATCAAGTGTCAGAATGTCCATAAGGTTTTTTTTGTTCCATGCTTTCACTTTCATAGTCGCTGGTGTCAAATTTGTTAATGGTGAAACAAGAGCTACAGTGAAAGTTTACAGATTTTAATTAGGAATATTTCAAATATAGATGAAGAATGAATAAAAGAAACAGTCTGATAATCATCATGTTGTGTCAATCACTGTATTAAAATACCTTTTTATCAGTTGGCGAGAGACAGCCAGCGCCAACCCTTTGTTTTAAATTTTGATGGTGAGCAGTGTTACATTTTGTTTTACATTTATACACACAAATAATGACTATAAAGGTATATAATATATAATATAATATAGAAAGAGTTGAGGGAAAAATAAGCTTCAATTCTTGGATCAAAAATAGAGAATGCACTGGTCAGAGATGAAGTGTTCTCACAATATGTTGTAATTCAATGGTGATCGTGCAAGAGATAAGTGGCAGCGAAGGAAATGAGAGGAATGAGAGCTGTGCTTCTAGATAAAAGTGTAAGCTATTAATGTTAAGGAGGACGATAGGGGATGGGGGATATGATTCAACGTGTGAGATACTTCTTGAAGAGATGAGTTTTTTGGGTGTACGGTGGAAATTATAATAATATATATTTATATAATACATTTTAAACTCTCAACCTGACAGACAGAAGTATAAACCAGGTTCATTACACTGCTACAGTCAATGTATTACATCTGTGTGCTGGAGATGTTCAATAAATAAGTACCTGTAGCCAAAAAATGAGACTGGCTTCATGGATAAAGCTTAGAAGAAACTCTCTATGTGCATCAGAGCAAAAACACTGCACTAAACATTGTGTTTTATTTCCCATAAACAGAAATTGTTATCTTATTTTGTGGTGCCACAGTGATATACAGTTACACAGAGGATCGACTGGAAAAGATGAAAATGAAGAGTGTAACAATACCCAAGCTTATTTCAGGGGGATAAGGGTGCGTGTTCTGGCTTGGAATTTAAATCCTTACTATAATATAATCTTGTTTGGGTGTATAAGCAGGAGCACCGTTCAGGCTGAGTGGCTTTCCCCCTCTTCTGAATTAAGCAAAACGCAGACGAGTAGCTTTTTCCTGGGCTATCGAGATGTTCTACTGTTTTATAGACTGTCATAGGGGGGAGTGGGCTGTTTTCTATGACTAATCCTGCTATAAACAGCTCTGTGACATACCCTATTTGGTTACACTTTGTTGCTCCTATACTGAAATAAAGCCATAATAAATCATAGAACATGTAAATTTAGTTTTACATGTAGATTACAGGGAATCTGTATATTTCAATACACATATTCCTATTCTACACACGAGCAATAAAGTGAGAGGGAGCGGTTACATTTTCAGTCGTACAACCCACATAAAGGCACAAGAAATAGAACTTTTCCTTCATTTGTGCGTTTGTAATTTGTGATAAATGATGCTGCAGTGATCTGCCTTCAGAGCTCTTCCTCCTTCCTCTCTGTATTTGGGAAAATCGCAGGTTTCAGCAGCATTCACCAGCAACTGTGCAGGGTGACTGTGTGGGTGGAAATATGAAAGGCAGAAATCTAAATGTGTCTGACACAGCGTCCACCGAGCCTCGGTGGATCCCTCTGAGAACTCTGGGTAGACTGGCTGCAGGTATAAGAACATATTTCAGGGGTGCCTGAAGCATTACAGACAAATATTACAGAAATAAACCCAGCAGCTGGGAAAAACACATTATTTTAATGCCAGTAGGTCTAAAGAATTACCCCATCATTTCTTCACAATGTTCTCATTTCCATTGTCCTTCATAGACTGATGAGTATTTCTGTTATTTCTTAAATCACGACAGACCCAGACACAAAGTCATTTTTTTCTGCTTGCTGGGAAATGTCACAAACAATATGTAATATATTATATAACATATTATATATTATATTATACAACATGATATATATATATATATGTAATATATGTTAAAAAAGGGAGTTTTATGACCAGTGTACTGCAGTTGTGTATTTGCCCATCAGGGGAAAGCTCTATCAGCAGCTCTGCTCCTTGAGGCTCGGTGGGACCACAAGAATAACAGCTAATCAAAACCTTTCATCCTGATGGCTGCTGAAAGGAAGAAGGGCTCTCTTCACTGCCTCTTACCTCCTAGCACCTCCATCTGAAGGGTGAGCGACAGTAATAGAAAGGGCATAGTCCTGTCACACCGTCAATTGTCTGGCCAGATGACTTTAAGCTCAATTTCTGCCCGATAAGGACTCAATAGACGTGCCATTACCTTCAGGGTCCACTGAACAAAGAGGATGAAAATACTGGGCCCATAAGATCATAGCTCCAAGTTATTGTTTAATTTGTTTTTTAATTAAATCTGAATGTCATCAGGCCCCGAATACAGTTTTATCATCGTGTAATGTATTTCCACTCACTTCTCAGTCTGACATATTTGTTCTGTTGTTTATTTCTTGAGCAACCTGTTGAGTTTATTGTCAAATATTCATTCAGGGAGCATAAATCATCCTCTCAGTGATAACCTGCTTATCATTCATACAGGTCACATTCACAGCAACACCGCACTGATACAGCCTACTGGAGCCGCATGGCAATAGCTGCTCAGGTTTGCTAATATTGGGCAATAAAAGAACAGCTCTTGCAGTCTAGTTTAGTAGATGTTTTTCTTTTTACTGTGCTTTCTTTCTGCAGCACCCGAGCATTATTTTTATGGTTGGTTTCCGATCCAACAAGTAAAACATCAGCTGGCTGTGAATGCAAGCATTGATTGAGAGGAGACTATCAGTTCTGATTCTGGTTCATTACTTGTATAATGGGATAAAATATGATGTGTGTTTCTTAATGCAACTTCTTTATAAAAGGACATGCATACCTCTGCACTCCTAAATCAAAAATTATATGTTAAATATGCTTTTAAGTGCATTATACCATTGAGGTTGCAAGACTCAAATGCTAATTTTCATGCCAGTAATAATGGTTTGACTTTTCTCTAATGAAAAAAAGAAAAACATAATAAAAAGATTACAGGACTCAAGGTAACTTGCTCTCAACCACACCTGCCAATTTATTTAGCTGTATGCTCCTGAAAATAATGTAAAATTACTATCAAGTGTGGTTCAATTGGTTCACCGTGAAATGATCACATAAGCAAATTATAGGCTCTTAAATCGTTGAACCAAACACTACAGCATGTCCCAAGAAACAGGTTAAATGTTTTAGGGCAAAAATAATAGACTTCATGTTAAAATATCAAATACCAACATCACAGAGCTACAGAGTATAACTTGATTTTTAAATGACAAATTCACAACGTCATGAGTTTAAATAACATTTACTCGCTCACGTCACACACATACAGAGACAACCATGGCGGTACAGATGAGAAGATAGCAGTTAGAATCAAAATCAAAATGGATGATGGTCATACAGTACAGCTGCATCTCTTGGTCCATACACAACATGAGCAGTCTGCTGTGGCTCCACTCTTTGTCACATCAGCTTTCAAACATTACAGGCAAACAACAAAAACACGAGAAGCAGCAAATTCATTCAAAACACCAGACCAGAGGCAGGTATAATTAAAAGAAAACGAATGTTTTGGACTCAGGAAAAATGATCAAGCTTAACTATTTACACAGCAAATAACACAGAAATGGTAAATGTAGATGGAAGCCAACACAGGGCAGGATGATATCACAGAAAACACTGTTAAGGCTCAAGTGTAGCTGCATTTCCTAGCAGAAGTCAGAGGTAATGGGTTTTCACAATCAAACTGTCAACCAGATAATTATAAAAAAAAAAAAAAAAAAAACAAGGACAGTCATGTCACTGACCAATCACCTGCCACTAGCTTCCATTAGTACCTCCCCAGACAGACTTAACTCCCAACATTAATGGAAAACTGAACATGGGCAGTGTCCATCATTCCAGCTGCCATCTACTCGTCTAGAGATCTCAAACCTCTCGCATCGTATAGATGGTTAACGTTCCTGTATCCATCAGCTGACAGCTGGCGAGATGGCACACAGCGCATGTCCACCCACCCAACTCAACCATCGAGGTGTGGTGTTTGGACATAAAAGACATTCAAAATATACACAGAACTTCACATAAACACAAAAAATATTCAACTCATGGAGATTTGAAAATGGCATCTTATAGAGGTGAGAACAGATTAGGATAGTGACCTGTGCCCTCCAAGTGCATCACTCAACAACCAGTGTAGAGAACAGACTCCATAAACAGGTTGGAGGGTGTGGATCAAAAGACAAACAACGTGACAACAGTTTAGGCTTGAGAAAATATGTCAGAATGGTAAAAAGCTTCACTGTCATAATACACAGGCAGGTACATACAGCTATCATTGGTGGATGGAAAGCTGAATGTTAACCAATGAGGAGAGGCCTGATCCAGAAATAGAGTCATACAGCAAAATATACAACCCTGTGGAAGAAAGGGGAAAACAAAATATACCACAACACAAAAACACCATCTCGTTAAACAAACTACTGAACTTTTTACAAGGAATTAAGAAGGCTATTTAAAAATAAAAAAAAAAGTAGAGCCTTTGAAGTAAAGCTTGTTTTTATACTATGCAAGACCCTTTGCCTGAAATTGTGGACAGCATCCCTTTAGTGAGGTGTCAAACATAAAAAAACAGCCTATGGCTGCCACTGAAAACTGGCCAAACTATCTGTAGCTCTGCTGATACACCACACTCAACACAGGAATAAAAAAAATGCTTAAGAGAAAAGACTTCATCAGCTAATTAACCATTTTTTTCTCACTGTACAAGTTTAACAAATTAAAAGTCAAATTTAAAAAAAAGGTTAAATTTACTAACACACTAAAATCATATATACACACGCACACACAACAGGGGAAAAAAAAAAAAAAAAAAAACCACCAAGAATTCCCATAGAGTGACACAGCTGTTCAGATAGCAACAGGCTGCACTCCCCAGCACCCCCCAGGGGTCACTCACAGGAGTACACAGGGGACAAATCCAAGGACAACCAAGCTCAAGTTCATTAGAGGAGACCAGAGGAGATGCCATTGTGTCCTGGCTGTTGAATGGCTACTCGTATAGCAAGAAGCATTCAGCTGCATTTAGAAAATACGCTTTCGCTTAAGGTAGGAGTCTGCATAATGGCCACCAAGGCCCTGGGAGTGCTGGCCCACATAGCTGCCCTCAGGACTCGGCTCCGGAGATGGGATCAGGCGGGAGAACACACGCTTGTGGCTACCAATGGGAGTCTATGATTGGTTAAAACAAAAACAATCATGCTCGGTGTAACAAGAAATGTATACAAAAAAAGTTAAGACTACAAAAAAAATAAAAAGTCTAGAAAATGTATAAATTACCTTCACTGCATTCCCCAGGCCTGGGGGGTAGTTTGTAGTGTGGCTCACAGGAGGCATTCCCACAGCCTGAGGATAAACAACCAACTCTCAGTGACCAAGACATCTGAGGCACAGGCACTCATAGTGCAACATTAATTATTGAACATGGGCTTATTCTTGGAACCTAACCCTCCACTTTTCATCTCTCAACGTGCTATCTTGAGGTTTTTGCCCTGACAAGTAATCAATAGTTTGAAATCAAAACAGAGATACATAAAAATGTTTTTTTTTAAAAAGACAGAAGTCTAAAAATCAGTCCGAAGCTTGACACTTACCCTGTTGAGCTGGGTGGTAGGGAGGCTACCGTTACTGGAATCCTCAGGCCCTGAGCTGAAGTAGGAGAGGGGGGGGCTGGGAGGGTAACTGTAGTGGGAAAACCGCTCACTGTAGTCAGGGTGACGAGAGAGCTGCAGAGACAAGTTCACAACTGTGTTACTATCAGACGGAATGCATGTAATTTGAGAGCATTAAAAATGTGCTCATGCAGTCTTGAAATGGTCGACTAAACACTACCTGCTGACCGAATCCTGCCAAGGCCCCAGTATCAAGGTTCTCTTGCTGTTCATATAAGTGGGCCAGGGGATCCTGAGGAGACAGATCAGATTGGCATCAGACCAGATCACATCATATAACCTATTCAATGAGTAGCCAGGAACTACACTGTAAATTCAACAGGTCACCTTGACATCTAGTAAAGCCGCAGCTATTCATGTCAAAAGAATAAAAGCTCTATATATTATTTCCATGGACAAAGCAGTGGGAATCTGGTGGTTACCTGGTGTAGTGGAGGATATTCTGGGCTGTAGGAATCCTGGTAGCGCAGGTTGTAATTTGGCTGTATGCTTTGGTGTGTGTGCTGGTTGGAGACATTACTTAGTGTTGGCCTCTTCCTATAGGGGTGAGGTCTGCAGCTTCCTCCTGAGTAGTGGACGGCAAACAGACATTACATGCTGGAATATATTTACTTAAGGGAAAATCAGAACCACAGTGCAAAAAAAAAAAAAAAGCACCTCACCTGAGGGGAAAACATTGTTGACATTGAGGAAGGCACTCTGGGGAAGGTTAACGTCCTTGGGTGGATCTCCTAGTATAGACACCTGACAGGACGGGAAAAGGTGATTTGTTTTAACCATAGCAAAAAACAAAAACTGTCATTTACACTTGGGTAGAAAGCTGGACACAAATACAAGAGGCAGAAAGCATATTATGGAAATTACTTGGGACCTCACCCCTTGTGCTGTAAGGCCATCTGCCCCCATCATGCCACCCATCAGGGGCATGGAGATACCCTGCAGGGTGGGAGAGGAAGTCTGGGGGAATGTGCACGCTGCTGTGGGGGACTCCTGCTCCCTTGCAAGAGCTCTGCCAAGTGGCAATGACTTTAGGGGGTTTAGAGGATCTGTCTGAAGACCAAGACCTGCAACTACACCGCCTAGGGGAATTAGATACAGGCATGATTGTAATTCAATTATTTAATCTTTAATCCATTTGGCTGGAACGAGTTTGCAGTGTAAGGAAAAAAAGTTGTCAGACCTCACTGATTTTAAAAAAAAAAAAGCATTGTGACCAAAATAGAATGACCAATGTGCAGAGAGAAACCTCTATTAACAGGCAAAGAGGGCTACAGATGTTTAGCATCATAAGCAAAAGCAAAAAACATGCAGTTTGTGACTCAAGGAGCTACGGCTGGAGTCGGCGGATGCCAAACCTTGGGGCAGGTCTCCGAGCAGATGGACTCCCTGCTGGACAGGCAGAGCAGCCAGAGGATTCTCCCCAATGAGTCCTGCCTGCTGGCCAAAGGAGAGAGCAAAGTTCAGTGTCACAAGAGGGTCACACAGCATGGCTAAGACACTCGAGTGGTTAGAAAAAATAAAAATAAAAAATGCAGACCTACACAAGCACACTTAATTAGCACAGAGGCTTACTCACCGCATATGAAATTAAGTCCTTGCACAATGGGAATTTACACTTCTTGTACACAATGAAGTAGTACACCTACCACATCACTTAGCACCACTCAAAAGTACACCCCACACATACACACAAAAACAAACCGCACTTCCATAGCGAAAGCTTACCTACCTGGGCATTGCGTTTTCACCAATACATGAAAAGACCACCACCTCATAGCCAAACACAAAACACCATGATCACTCACACAAGGAACTAGAGGGTTTTCTTTATTGTGCAGCACCTGAGCCCAAAGAAGATGATTTCCCAGAAAGGCTTGCTAATGGTTAAGAGGGAAAAAGCAGAGAGTGGAGGGGGGGGGGTTGTATGAATAGGAGAGGATGAATCAAAACAGGCTGAGCGACAAGGAGCCACATGTCAGAGAAAAAGCAGAAAGGTAGTAGTACCTGCTGGGCCTTGGCCTGGTTCTGAAGGAGCATCTGGAGAAGGGCGGCAGAGAGGGCAGGGTTGGCCAGCAGGGGCATTGTAGGGGCTGCCCCAAGAAGGCCTGTAAACACAGATAATGTCAGGATCCACATTACCAAAACAAATCCTACAATTAAACTACTGAGCTCCTGAGAACTCCTCACCTTGTTTGTGTCCCTGTGACAGTGGGTTGAGCAACATCTTGAGGGTGGCAGGGTTATTGAGGCCTGTTAATATCTGCATGGCAGTGGGATCAGGGAGAAGACCCTTACCCCTATTCACAGCCTTGAAAGGAGGGGCAACATGACAGGCATTCAGCACCAGTGCAATGGCAATTTTGATGGCAAGTTCGGGCATGTACAGTACATCAATTTGACTTTAATACCATGGTTTGGGCTGCAATCAGAGCAGCCAACATGCTTCTTCCAGGTGGCCCAGGAGCACAGAAGGAAACCCTGATATGGGTCCCACCTAGCATCCTGCCATCAGTGAGTCGCTGTGCCTCCTCAGCCATCTCAGCTGTGGCAAACTCCAACACCGCAAACCGTCGAAAACTTCCATCTTGTCCCTGAGCCAGCTGTGGAGAGGAAAAAAAAAACAATCATTCTAATCTAATCTCACAGAAACTATGAGTCCAAGTTCTGCAGACCATAAATAAAGTACACACACGGGCTATCTGGTACACCTGGGTTTCTTTTTTTACACTTACACCCTGGACAATCAGAACACATGTGAGTGCGACATCCATCTAAAAAGCACATTATGTAGGAAATGCCTTGTAAAACCGCTGAAATGTACCAAATCACCACTCAAACTAAATTAAGTGATGTTGAAAATCTCCCAAAAGATTTCCTTTTGTGTTTTGTTTATTGATAATGCAGCAACCGCCCTAACAGGCAGGCAATTTTCTAGCACAGACAGGTTCCATTATAGCATATTCTTTTTTAAGACTCATAATTTACTCTTCCTTCAAGTCCTAAAAATGAAATGTACAGTTTTTTGAAAATTTGTTGAACGTAGCTTAAAAAAAAATACTATAAATAATAAAGACTTCCAAAGAACAATCATTAGAATTTACACTTTCCACTTATAATTGTGACTCATTTAGAGTTTGGCTAACTTAACACTATCCACAGCATTTTATGTCTGGTCAGAGAGCTTCCAGATAAATTGAGGAAACTTCAGCATCAAGAAAACATCAAACCATCTCTTGACGCTTTACAGAATTCTGCTGACCATATTGCTTTTGAATTTCCACTTTACTAGTCCTTAGTCCCTTTACTCATCAGTCACTATGTGATGTGGCCTCATGATTCAATACCACTAGGTTTCAGTATTTCATAACTAGGCCAGTTGTATCCTGTTAACTTAACCGTTTCCCTTAAATTGTCAAATGATCCTTAATCATTCCTGCCATAGCCACAATCCTAAAAAACCATCGAACCAGCAGAAAAGTACCCCTATGCATGTCATGCTAAAAAGGACACCCCTCTCTCATTCCAGAAAAGCCTGCTGAATGACACCACCTGGGGATGTCAGGTGGTCATCACCATAGAAACCAGCAATGCTCATTGCTATAGAAACTTTGAGTGGCCACGGGAAAACTGGGGTAAAGGTTAAAAAAGGTACTGAAAGATCAAATAATGTTTTACAAAATACCTATAACAGTGTAAGTTCTACAACTATCAGATACACATGGCAGAACATAACAAAAGCTCCCAGAAGTTTCATTAATATGGCATAACATAAATCAACAGCAGCTTCCACAAAAAAAAAACATTCACAAAGAAACTGACTACAACTGGGACGGCGTATTGCCCTTGCAAGTCACTCCTCAAAGAACGACACAAGACTGCAACATTATAAGTGTTTTCACATTGCATTAATTGTTGCCAAATCTGTATGTAACACCAAATTAAAAACTGACATCGCAATTAACTACAGCCCTAGGTGATGTCGTTAAATGTCATGTTTTGTTGGATAGGCCAAGAACCAAAAAGTCAAATTTACTATAAAATATAAAAGCAGATATATTGAAAACCTAACCTAAAGCGGTATACATTAATTATTCTTGCCATAAAATACTTTCTGCATAATGTATCCCTCTGAAATCATATTATTTTAACAAGCAACAGAGTGTTTGTGTGTAATGAAATTGACCTGGCAGAACACTGGTGCATGGGTGTCAGCCAAGGCGTTGCGGAGGTCCTGGGCTGTCAGCAGGCTTGGGGGCAGGCGGTCCACGCACAGGCATTTAGAGTGCAGCAGTGGGTATGTGAGGGAGCCCACCTCAGTCCAGTGGACATACAGCATACGGGAGCCCAGCTGCTTTCCTAAAAGCTCTGACTTGGCCCTGGCCGCCGAGTCCTTCTTCATGTACTCCACAAAGCCATAGCCCTTGGAATGCCCTGTGGAGGCGCTGTACACAAGAAAGCACCGCTCCAGGTTACCAAAGGGTCTCACCAACTCCTCAAACTGCTGCTGGGTGAAAGCACAGGGCAAGTTGGCGATGCATAGCAGAGCGTCTGTTGGCTGCAGCTGCACAGAGATTTCCCTGTCCCGTAGCACATGCTGGTGGAATTCTTTGATGGCACACTGCGCCTGCTCCCCATTGAGCAGTGTCACAAATGCTGAGGGTGATGGGGGGGACAGAGGGAGGAAGAGAGACAAACACAATTTGGTGTAAAGTGAGGGAGTGACATGTGTTGAGTCAGCATTAAGAGAAAAAGCTATTTTCATACACAGCAGGTTTCAGATGGCAAACCTTGGTTGTGACACCGTTTCTCCTTTGGCAGGTCTGATAAAAGATGATGCTGGTGGCACAATGTCACACACCAGCATTTATGTAACTGCAATATTTCCTCTATTGAGACTACAATGGCTGTCACAGCTGCTGACAAGAACTAAAGGCATTTTATCTGACTGAGCATCATGTTCATAGCTAAAAAGTCACATCTATGACTTCTAATGTTATTGGCACCCACTTTTAATGTGACAAACTCTTGTTACAGTGCCAACAGATATACAAGAGCCCCATAGTATGCCGCTCCATGACAAGCAGGCATCCTGTTACCTATGTTTTGAAAGACAAGCATAGGTCGTTGTTGCAGTTTTGTCTGAAAGAAACATTAAAAAAATAAAAATAAATAAATGAACAAAAATTAAAAACAAAATTAAAAAAGTAAGAATTTTTACAAGCCAACTAGATTTTGTGCAAAAGCCCATCTAAATAGATCCCAGGCATATCCTGAATTCACCATCTGGCTCATGCAATTTCCTGGCATTGTCACTTTCTGGTGGAATGCTGCACTGGCGATAGTCAATGTGTAAAAACATTTTAAATGCAAATTCTAAGATAATGATTCTGAGTTAGTGGTTTTAAAAAGGTCAGCACTGCCTGATAAATCAGCTTTGAGACATAATGGCATGCTGATCTTTCATGCTCCCAGAGCATCATAAGAAATAGGCGTTTTCTGTGGATTGAGACACAAATCACATTTTGGGGCACACAAGGTTAATTCACCCCCCTGGCATACAAATTGATGACTTTGTGTTTGTATCAACAAACTAGATCAGTAGCTGACAAGAATGTCAGAATATCATAAGATAAATAACTTTCATAAGAATATCAGAAGTATATGAACGACATGTGCCATGTAATTTTTACTTGCTTTCTTGTCATCGAGCATCACTGATGTGGAAAAGGTTTCTTTTTTTTATGTAGTCAGGTTGTATAACTGTTGCAGCACCCCCCAAAATTTTAACCAGTAGATCAGTTTCAAACATGGCTTCACCAGAACTCACTTGGAGAAAAACACTCACTGGAAAAAATGTTGTTAGCTAGTCAGATAACCTTTCTTGCTGACAAACTTTCACAACAGCTTGCCATCTCTGCCAGAGTTAGCACAGTGTTGAGCACTACAAAGACATCAGTCACACCTCCACAAAGCTCGAATATAATAGAAATAATATTGTCACCCCTAGTGAGGAAATACTGGAGCACACTGACAATCTAAACAATGTCTTTACTGAAGGTGCAAATGAATTAAAGTTGTGATGGAAAAAGTGCTCCAGGAGCTTTTTGTTCCTTTTGTTTAGCATTTTCCTTAGAGTCAAGAACCTTCTCCTTTTTATGAACAATGGCCTTCAAACTGTGAAATTTGTCCTCAGCGTTTAAATGAATCAACTGCTCTAAATGCAGACAACCAAAGTTTTTTTTATGCGCCTATCGAGTTTGTTTGCAGTTATTTTATTTGTTAACATTTAGATCCTCTGAGATATATCCTTTAAACTTAACATGAAATGACTAACATGATGGATGAGCAGTTAGACCAACCTGTGCCCTTGTATTTGTCAACAAAGCAGTACTTCAAGTCATAGTTTCCCAACAGCTCATGGACCTCCTGTAAATAAGAAAAAGACAATTACTACATCTAAACATTTAAACTCATTACACAGTGCACTACAACCCTTTAACCAGGGTATCATACATTAAATATTTGACTTTCTAAGTCATAGATTTTGGCATCATATAATTATAGAGTGCTTAATTGTAGATTTTGGTAATCATATAATTAACCAAATCATGTCCACTGGGAAACTAGCAACAAGTGCACCTGCGGGGGGGGGGTGAGAGGTGAATAACTGACTCATTGTTGTCGGAGAAATTGTTCTGCGCTGCTTTTGACCATTCACAAACAAACTGCGACGCTGTCTAGCATTTTCTGAAACGTTTTGTCTCCACACCTTCCACCTTTTGTTATATTGCAACTCACATCTCGAACTCCCACTAACCACCATCACCCCCCCCCCCCCCCCTACCCCATGTGAACAATGGTACCGCCCGCAGGCCCAGCGCTCCCCACGAGTCAGGCACGTTCCAAAAAAATGTGGCATCATGAGTAAATCACTGGCTGGTTAAAACAACCAAAACGCCAGCTTAAACAACAGATGTGCTTATGAAAAAAAAAGTTCCAGTGCACCTGCAGCCCCCCCCCTAATGTACAGATACAGAGTATACTCACCAAAAGTTCAGCTTGGACTCATGAATGGTGAAAAAACCCGAATATTAGTCACCAAATTGTTCCCTTGGAGGCCGGACTCGCAGGTCATGAAGGCCACAGATGACCATTATTGACAGTTATCTGACCACCTGGCAGTTAACCTAAGCTACTGTTTGTCGGCTAACCCTCACAAACTAAAACACAATACTAATGGTGTTCCTTGGCTGCCAATTTAAACAGTGTGTTGGCTTTTAGTTAAACCAGGTGTAGAATAAAAAAAAAATAAAAAACAAACATATTGCATCAAGTTAAAAAAAAAAAAAAAAGACAGCTAACGAGTTAAATGGCTAGCAAGCTAACGTAGGTAGCATGGCAGGCACACTGGAGCTAGGCTAATGTTAGCCCCCCCCCTCGTCAATCGATCACTCATCCAACAATTAAAACCTCCAGTTGGTACTTTATACTCATACCTGATTGCTAACGTCGGATGGCAGATTTTTAATGATAATTTTTCTACGGTTGTAAAACTCCCGGCGGGTTCTCTCCAAGCGGCTCTCTATCTCTTCGGGGCTCAGTGATGTCAAGTCCTCGTCGACCCTCCGCTGACACTCGCGTTCCGAAATTGAGTCCTCTTCGCCGGGTTCGATTTCGGGATTTCGTCGGTCTCCGGGCATCCAGCTTTCGTGGTCCGATGCGAGGTCGTAATTATCATGAAGCGGACGAGAGGCGAAACTGAGTCCTGTGTCTGTGCTTTCGTCTCTGGCAGCTGTGCTAACAGACACGACGGCCGCCATCACTCAGTTTGGTGGAAGTTTTATCGGGTCTGGAAAGTCAGTCAGATTTGAGCAGTTTAAACAATACACACATGGCCCCAGCGACGCTTCTGATTGGACGAGAGGGGGACGCACTCTCCATGACTACGACGTAACGGAGGGTGGGGGCGGGGCCACGGTTGTTTGTGTTCCGCTTAAAACTGGTTTTAAATGCTGCAGATTTCTCATAAAATTGATTTCCCCAGAAATTATAATTTAAGTATTATTATTTTTTAAATCTACTCGTTTATAATCACATTTTTAATCGCATTTCTTGACTGAATCAGATATCTAGATTTGACTATACAGACATTCAACAGTCTTGGATAACATCCCGATAATTGAATGACTATATTAACCGGATAGAGGCAGGGAAAACACAATTTTAAAGAACATAATCCATGTGCACTACTTTATTACTCATGTTTATGCGGTTTACTTTTTGTTTTGAATTATAAGCTTAAGATATTGGTTTATTTCATCAAACAAAATGTATGTTCATAAAACGTTTGGGTACTGATTATGTTTTAGTTGTGCAAAATGTGAAGTTACATAAATTCTAGACCGGACTATGGTAGTTTGTGTCGGCTGATAGAACAGTACTGAAGGATACAGGGACATGGTTGTGTTTGGCCATGGGGAATGTATCATCCTTCAGGGGGCTTCACAGTCAGTCCAAGCAAGGACTGGAGGGATCATTATCATTTCCATAAGTCATAAAACACCATCCATCTGGATATAACATGGCAAAGAAGTCGCTTGTCATCCTTATTTGAGAAAGTCAAAGACACAGCGTCTTAATTGATTGATGCAACACTTCCTTAGTACTGGACATGTCCAGTGATACATGCCTAGCCTTTGGTTCGTCCAGCATTTTCCTTCAAACACAGTGAGATACTTGCAGCAGGTGTGCTATGTTGACAGTGTGGTTAGAAAACTCCTGGCTAGATAGAGACCCTTCTGTAGCTGTTGAATTGCATTGTAGTCTAGACAGCTTTGTCCAATGGAAAAATGTCTGCCCACGTATCTGGTTCAGACTTCAGACTTATTCTGAAGGTCTGTGCAGAACACTGATTCGAATATCTATTATATTTGCTGCATTTGGCTGCTCTTCACCTGCTGCGTTACAGGATAGGAAGTGTGTCAGATGGGTCTTTTCTGGTCTGTGATTCATCTGGGTAATTTGGCCTGTATCGTACCCACACAATTCTATGTGGTTGCTGTATACATTATTATACAGAAGTCCAATGTTAGAGAAGCAGCAGAAACATTGTAGGTGCGTTATTTCCAACAACTGGACTAATGTGCTGGAGTCAGTGGTAGCCCACATTTAACACACCTCCTTTCCTACCTAGTGGCATGTGAACAGGCAACTAAATGTTCAAGACAAAAGCGGGCGTTATTAAAGACCATTCCCTCAGTCAGTGACCGGTTTGTAAAAAATTTAAGTGTAGAGGTTTATTTTGTTACAGTACATCCCGAAGATAGTGATCAGTAAGTTCTTACATAACAGAGGTGTTATGTAGCTGTGCTTTCTTGCATATAGTGTTTGGTAACACAGAACTGAATGGCACATTTTGCAATTCACTTTTTGACAGTTTCAATCTTTAATGAACAGGTGTTTGAAAAATGGTTTATTCGATTTTGTATATGTTCTTTTGGTTTATACAAAATTAAATGCAAAGATTAACATACACTCAAACAAATGTACACAAATGAAACATAAAATGAAATAGTAATCTCCCAACCATACATAAATTCTTAATACTCACTGTGATATATGCAAACTATAACTTATGAAAGACAAACGCTGAAACTCAGTGGCTAACTACCAAAGACATCCCCTTTCCTAATAACATTCATCTCATCAAACCAGAAAAAAAACACAACTATTTAATTTATTGTTGTGTTAATATCACATATGAGAGGATTGCAATGTGCTTTTATCAAAAAGAAACCTACAGTATAAAGTTATCTATGTAAATAGAGGCAGCAGGCATTGCATTGTTGCCATAGTGGCAAAGTGATAACATGTAGACATGAAGATCTTCAGAGTCCTGATCAGCAAATCTGAGCCAAAGAAAAGTTTATATTAGACTGCCAGTCGTATGTTCGGCGAATTGCTTCAAACTTTTCAATTAGGGATTTGAATGATGGCCGATCTCCAGGTTCTGAAGCCCAACACTGCTCCATTAGCATCTTCACCTGTTGGCATAGAAGTAATTATGAAAATATCAGGCTTTAATGCCGAAAGTGTCAATTGTGTTTACGGGCATGTAATGTTACCTCATGCGGGCAGTCTCTGGGACAAGGCAACCGCATACGTTTCTCCAGCAGTTTTATGAGTACCATCACAGTCATCTGTCCCTGTGTTGGTTCCATCATGTCAACGAACTTCTACAAAAACACGAAAAGAGTACATTGTATATTTAACACAGAGATTCATCATTTACTTTATTAGTCACATCAAAATATATGCAGGTTCGAGTTGGTTATAAGAGGCCAGTAGTAACATACTGTTGGAGGGTTTTGGCGAGGGTCACAGCGGGTCAAGATCTCATATAACGTAACGCCGAAGGACCAAACGTCAGACGAAAAGGAAAATTTACTCTCCTTCAAGCACTCAATGGCATACCTATGCAGTACAAAGAAAATACAGTTTAGTGGCCAAAGACATGGAAGCACTGGAAAACACTTAAGTGCTGCACGAACTCACCAGAACACTGGACTGTCCCCGTGCTCACGGACACGATAGTAGATCTCGCCTTCTGGGATGTATTTTGTCAGGCCAAAGTCTCCAATCTTTACCAAACTTTCATTTTCCACTAAGACATTACGGGCAGCTAGGTCTCGATGGATGTATCGCTTTGAGTGCAAGTAGTCCATACCCTTTAAAAGAGAACCACACAAATAAAATATGGATAAAATTACTGAGAGGGGGCAAAATGTGGATTTAAACAAACATTCACTTCAAAACTTCAAACGACAACTTCAAATCTCTTTTTGATGTCAAATGTCAGGAATGTCTATTCCTGTAGTAATTGTTGTTGTGTTGGCTCTAGGGTTGCCAATGCATTTCTGTCTCTGATCCCCTGATTTTTCCTGTAGCACCATCTTCTAGACTAGAGGAGCATATCTAGATCTAGCAAACTGTCTCAACAATATTGGAGGAATTGTCATGAATATCAGTACACACACATTCCTGTTCCCCTCAGAATTGATTACAATAATAATGATGGTCCCAACTTTTCAGCTAGCATATCTAATTTTTTTTTATGTCCAGTACTTTGATTTATGATCAAATAAACCTAATGGCATTTCCACCAGCCTTAGCTGTACTGTGTTTAGTGCTGATGAGACAATGTTTGGATGGTAACATGCTACACTAAGATAGTGAGCATGGTAAGCATCATACCTGTCAATTGTCATTGTGAGTCTTTTCGCATGTTGACATTAGCATTTACAGTACAGCCTCACAAAGCTAGTTGTAGACTCTACTTTAACTTTTATCAAACTTTACATCACAAAGTGTATTATAAACCAAAAAGTAAATTAAATCATTAAATTCACTGACTGGCTAACAAGATTCAAATGTCAGTGTGGCAAACAACAGCATGTTGAGTGATAGTGACATTTTCTTGGTTACGGAGAGAAAACACACTGCAACATAATGCTAGTATAATAAAACTACTCAACTTAAACAATGAATTAATGACAATACACAGAAACCGCTACAAAATGAAATGGTGGCTTAATGTGGTGGATTATCTACTTAAACTAATGTCTACAGTTTCCACACAGATGCAGGAATATTGTAAAATTAAGTGGAAATGTAGATTAGATTAGCACAAACTACAAAACCACCTAAACTCACCTGGCAGATCTGCTGAGCAAACATAAGGCACTGGGGCACACCCAGTTTACGTTTAGGAAGGTGCTCTCGCAGACTCCCCAGAGGCAGGTACTCCATTATTAGCTGCACCACTTGTCCTCCTGTCAACAGACAATGCAACAGTGCTTTTATCCTCCATTAGAATGACCTGTTGTCTATCCTGGTGGTAAATGGTCTGTAGTGCTCAGCCTGCTGTGTTTTGAAAGCTCAGAATATTGACATACAATGGAAACAGTGTACTGTGCACTTGCACTTAGAATAGATTTTCAATATTTACAGAGGAACAGCAGGGATCAAAAATCCATTCCTGAGCACTGCAAGCTAAAAAAGATTCAAACAAGCACTCCTTTACACATGCAGACACTGTATATTGATTTATATTTCAATACACATATTTGAACCAGGCAGATGAGGACTTACCAAGTTCAGTGCAACAGCCTTTGTACTTGACAATGTTGCTGTGATCAAGGGACTTCAGGATCTCAATCTCCTTCATCCAGCTCTCCACATGACCATTCTCTTGTTTCAAAGCCTTCACTGCCACAAGCTCTCCTGTCCCATCATTGGCCGGGTCATACAAGTAGAGAGTCACTTTTCCAAAGTGACCCTGTAGACAGAACAATGTGCTGTGCATCAGTCTCTAACATACAGGCAAAAAACACTGCTGCTAATGTGTTTTAAGAACTCACCTCTCCCAAGTCCCGCATCTTTTTCAGGTAGCGTTTATGGAACGTGCTAGGGACCTTGACAGGGAGAGTTTCACTTGGGGATATATCAGGATCTGTGTGCAGAAACACATCATTTAGAGGCACCAAGGTAGGTTCAAAGAAAATCAAAAACTAAGTTGATCAAGTAAAAACCCACTTTTGATCATGATTTCTGTGAGCTTTCTGAGCACAGTGCGGAAAGAAGGCCTCTCCACAGGCTCGTAGGTCAAGCACATGTTGATGAATTTGGCCAGTTCCTGGGAGGATGGTGCAGCTAAACACCCCTTTTGCTGATAAAAGCGCTCTTTCTGTTTGGGGGCAAAGGTTCCAGAGTTACAATTAGATGTCAGAATGATAAAAAAAAAAAAGCAGGTAGAGCCAGTGGCAGTTGGAAGACAAATAAAGGGCTTACCTCAGACAATGTGCTGCCACTCATGGGAAGATCACCGTTGTTGCAGATTTCCAGCAGTGTGGCACCAAAGCTCCACTGGTCAGACGCATTGCCAATGGATGTACCGCTGTCAACACACTCAGGAGCAATCCATGGGATACGCTCAAGACGCTCTGCAATGCAAAATAGCCATAATACAAAATGAGTTACATGCATCACGTTACAGTGATCTCAATCTCTGGGTGCTTTGGTTAAACTTTTTGAAGAAGAACTCCATAGAAGAGCAGGATTTAGATTTAAATATGGTTCAAGTTAAAGAAGTCTGAAAAACTTCATATAAACACCTCACCTTTATTCATTTCATTAAAAGGCTACTTCTACGCCAGAAAGATACCTACGAAAGAGTGTGGTTTCCTGTGTGTATTCAATGTTAGTAGCTGCAAAAACATGTGAATTAATGATATCGGGGCTTTGCTCTTTTTTTGCATATTTTGGACAGCCTTTAAAGACACATAGTGAGATAAAACCAGATAACAACAGGAAACAAGTCTGCTTTCAGTTTCCTATTTCCTATATCTGATTAACATAAAGCAGAAGGATACACAAAGTACAGATAACCTGATGCTGATCGAGTTGGGAGATGTTCTTGTAAAGTGAGACTAATGAAGAGTCTGTGTAAAGTCTGCTGTTACTAACCATCCCGTGAGAGGACACTCAGGGCAATTCCTGGATCACTCAGCTTGACAAAAGGAGTAGTACCATGCTCCAGACCACGCCTTGCCACCAGAATGTTCTTGGCACAAACGTTTCCATGAACCAGCCGTTTGGTCTCCTACAATGACAAATATAGTACATGTACTCACTTTCTGGGTCGTTAAAATATGTTTAACACAAACTATTTAAGCAAATAGTTATCGAGCAAAAATGAACTTCACTTGCAGCACTTATCTTAAAGACTGGTCAGATATTAAGATTATTTAATTTCCTGCCTGCGGCTCAGACTCAAAACATGGTGTCCAGTTGGAAAGCTGCACTACCTGATTCTGTTATTCAAAATAATGTACCCACTGGCCTATAGCAGGTGATTAAAGACTATTAGGAGATAAATCATACAACACTTGTAGTACTTCACTATCAATTCACTTTAATGATCTCTTAGCTTTGTTTAATTGAATTATAATATGTGGCACACAAAAAACAAAGAAGCGCTTGAACTCACAAGATAATTGAGGGCACTGGCAAGTTGTTTTGCAACAATGAATTTCCACTGAGGAGTCACTGATGCCTTTTCTTTGTGGAGGAAAACATCCAAAGGCCCAAACTCCACAAATTCTTCCACCATTATGTCTGTAAATGTAGAAACAAGTCTGAGAGGTCAAGTCTCAAAAATGTAAAGAAGTAGCACGCTCTTTAAAACAGAACAGGATAACTGTGGTTTTGCATTTGCTTCATGGTTCACTTGGTACTCGAATCATAAATTTGACTATAAAAACTGTAAACACTGAAATGCGTGATGGGGAAGTAGCAAACGAGGAAGTCGTGTACCTAAAACAGTACAAGTGCATTTCTGAAAATGAACAGTGTTATTGCCCTTACTTTCAGATCCTTTGACGGACACACCGTGTACAAACACCAGATGACTGTGGGATACCTGGCTCATCAGACTTGCGGTTTCAAAAAATGCCTTAGAAAGACAAAAGAAAGGCATATTGAGAGAGTAAACTACCACTTTTATTCTTTTGACTGTTGGTTACCGTTAATGCAAAGATCAAAAGGCTTACTAGTGCAATATCTTTGTGGCTTTGGTCTAGGATCTTGAGAACCACTTGGATCCCTTTGCGGCCAGAAGAGTTGTTGTTGAACTCGTCATCCTCGTCCCCTCCGCCTCGCACCAGCAGACGTCCTGAGTAGATGTTTGTTCTGGTCCCACGGCCCAAATGCTGTCCCTGCTCGTAAACACAACACTCAATAGTCAGTCACAGAGCTGAGAGCACAAAGCTTCTCCGGTGGAGAAGATGGTCATTTATTGGTCGCAAGTGGGTCTCATCACCTGTACGATCTCTTTGTCCTTGATCTGGTGGAAGCGTAGCTGGGTCATGTTCAGGGACAAGGCGTCACTGTGAACGCGGTGATCAACACCTTGCCTCATCACCAGGAGGTTGGATAGCTCTACATCACACAAACACACACCAACAAACCAATGTAAAGAGCATACAGAAGCAAAACATGTCTAGAATTGAAAAGTCTAATGAACACAAACCTGCTTGTCTCGGAAAACAGCATTTTTTGACAGTAAAGCTGTCTGAACCAGACTTGAGTACAAAGGTCTTGAGGCTGTCTGTGAGTTCCTTGACGCTGGAGAATTCCCGGTCCCAGCCCTCCAGGCAGAACGTTGAATTATTGTAGTGAATTCGAAACTGCTTGTGGCTTGGCGTCGATCCATTCTAATGACCCACATGTACATATAAAGTCAGTGGCTGAAAAATTTCACCATCACTGCACTGCAATCACTTCCAGAGAGGAGTGTGGGTGTTGACTTACCTCATTTTTGTTCAGGACAGCTAGGATGATGCGGTGATAGTCGAGTGCACTCCAACGTACGAGGAAAGCTCCCTCCTCTGCCGCCTCCTTTTTAAGCTTCAGTAGCACAAAATCATCACTGAAAACAGACCAACGGAGTTATGATATAACACACTGTGTTTCTCCATAGCTTCTCTGCATCTGTATGTGCATGTGTAAGAGGAGAAAACTCACTGCATAGGTCCATGCAGTCCATTTGCTTCACTCAGCACTACCCTTGGGGGAGCCACTTCATGACAAAGATAGTGGTGGGCGTCTGCAGTCAGCCGGTAGTATCCATCTAGGAGGGAGATGAAGGAACGGGCCTCCTGGCTGGAGTTCATGTGAACCTCCTACATACACATACAGAAACACCACTAGCTTACAATCAGAGCTCCCACCTACAGACACATACAAATTCAAAACATAATAAAATGCCTGAAGCGAACCAAAACCAAAAGCTCTTATAGTCAAAAACATATAGAATTGGAGAATATATGAGAATCTAGGCATGCATGTGTTCTGTACAGTCTATTCCGACACTTTAAAGACTGAACAATCTGCTCAGTAGAATGAGTAATGTACAGTATATCAATTGGACTAATGTACCACAAGGACATTAATCAATTAAATTATATATTATGTATTGAGGCTTTTACATAAAAGCTTAAACAAGTGCTCTCACCATGCAGTGATTGTCCTGAGTGCTAATGCACACATTAGCTCCAGTGATGGCTATGTGAGTTATTTCAGGGAAATCACAGAAGGAGGTCCATTTATCGGGAGTGTTCGCATTCGGTTGGCTGGACTCTTGTTTTGTTTTCCTCAAGTAGTTCAGATGGTCATTCCTGAAGTAAGAGTTAGCCTGCGCCTAGGTGAGGAGACCAAATTAGCAAAAAGTCCACACTAGCAGAATACCCACCATGCCACAGAATCAAACCATCAGAAGCTTGAAATTGCACTTTGACTAACCTTCTGACCGGACACCTTCCTCCACTGAATCCCCTTGGTGCCGGACACCATTATTTCATGTGTGGGGGGAGCTATGAAGCTGTCTTTCGAGACACCCTGCGCATGAGTGGTGTTGGAGTAAGAACTACTTCCATCCCCATCCTCTCTTAGCTCAAGGTGGGATACGGGAAAGGTCTCTATGCCAAAACATGGTGCCAAGTGTTCGAGAGTAGAGATGTACTTATACATGATCTCTTGGGTGCCCAGCCGCCCTTTATCCACAGTGTGCTGCTGGAAGGTCCGCACAAAGTCTGCAAACACCCGCCGGATCCTGATTTTTGTGAGGAAGTTGTCTTTAGAAATGTGTTTGGCGAAAGACCTTGGAATGCAGTGTAAGAAGCTGGGGAAAAACAGAGGAGACATTTTAATGTTACCTGGATCCAGTGGTTAAATTAGATATAAAGACGCTTTGATGATCCAGAGGAGAAACTGGATTGTCACAGTAGCAGAAAATAGGATAGAGATAACAAACAACCCCATTACATACAAATACATATCTATCCTCAGAACATATTCAAATTAATATAGAACATTTAATACCTTTGTTGACAAATTTACAGATTTAACTGCAATTAGTCACTGTTACTATTTCACAAATTTAGCTGTACAGACAATTAAATAGTAACAGCTTAAACAGCATGTGCCTCGACTGCATTATATTCATTCCTTCCATTCCAAACTAATTACCTGATTTTTCTGGCAACATCTTGTAAGGTACTGCCTGTTTGCATTGCCTGATGTGAGAGGTGAAGTACAGCCATCCCTAAACTCTCATTTTTGAAGCGACTCAGTTCCTCCTCTGACTGAACGTCTTCCATCTGCACTACTTCGTTCACAAATTCATATTTAGCCTTTTGGAGACACAAGAAGTGAAACGGGTTAGGTACTTTGCTATTGAGAGCACACAAAAAAATGCATTCAATTAATTCACCATAAACATAATGTTAAACACAAACCTGGGAGAATAAGTACTCTAAGGCAGCGATTTCAAGCAGAGGGGCTGCCCCTTGATCTGTCCCAGATCTGAGAGCATAACGGGATACAGTTGGCTCCTTATTTAGTCCGTGCCAATTCCGAAAGTAATACCTAGGTACAAGGACAGCAGACAACCAATGTAAATATGCTCAGTGTGTTTCATCTGCCTTGCTAATCCAGTGTCACCGACTAACCTCATACAGTAGTGAAGTACGAGGCTGGAGTTTTCCTCTGGATGGAAAACGTGGTTTGGACTGTACCAGCAGTGTGTTTGTGGATTGTACAGAGCAAACAACACATGGCAAAGAGGAGTTATCCCTGGGGAATAAACACAGAGTGTTATATACACACACACACACACACACACACACACACACACACACCCTACCAGCAGGCTAAAATACCACATGACATACCAAAAAAAGGTCTGTGTGGGTGAATTTGGTCAGGGTTGTCACTCTCACCTATAGCCTCTGCTGCAGAGATACACAGATCCTCTGCTGTCACCTCTCCATTTGTGTGGGACAGATATCTTTCCCCTTCCGTTGTCCAGAAGAGGTAAACATGGGTGCCCCGACCCTGAGGAGGCTCTGAAAGGCCCGGAAATGGCCCTGGCCTTGAACGCGTGGACCACCCACTTATAGACATGGTGGGCACAGCCAAAATCTCTGACACACACACACACACACACACACACACATTTACATTAACATAACAGGAAATGACTATTCAGCTGTTGCACTGGACGGAATCACGTTACGCCTCAGGCCTACGTAAACACAAACGTAAGAGCCATCTTAAAAGCGAAACATTGCACTTCACTAAAATAATATTCAGTATTTCTCAATTTTACACGATTTTTACTGAAGAAAACTGAGTTTGTACGTTAGCAGATAACCAAAACATATGGAATAAATTAAAAATATTAAGTAATCGGATCAATTTGTCAAAGGGCCTTCCGGGAATTACACGGTGTCCAACTTATTGTTTACGTTACACAATACTCGATATCGCTGTACAACACAACTACCCCTCTACTCATTTAATACCAATAAGTGCCCCCGAAAACATGGGTCTTCATATATAACACAGTGTAGCCTGCCACGACAAGAAAACATATTTGCATATCCCTATAACTTAGTAACGTGTATTACCATTAAGTATCTTACCATTAAGTATCTTACCATTTAACGCCAAGCTTTTGAAGGTGTGAGCTGACATGAGAAAAACCTAACACGCACAGTGACAGTCAGGCTCCATTATCTTGTGGACGTATTTCCCCACCTTCGCCTACGCTCGGATTCTCATGAACTATGAGACGACAGACAGCTGCTTCCCGAAACCAACATGGTCACTCCCTCCTGCAGCGTACAGGCACGTACACACGCACGGACCTTTCAAAATAAACTTCAGGGCATCAACGTCGAGAATAGCAGTGATCCAAGTTACATGAAGAGAAGTAGCAGTAACTTGCTTTCTCTTCTTTATTCCCTTTTCTACTTTACTAATTATGCAGCAAATTTAATATATACTTCATCATGCATTATCCAGGGTGGATCTAAAGGGTTTGCATGGTCTGCCACCCTATGAATGTGTGGACTTCTGCACGGTGTTTGAGGGGACTAGAGATAACATAAGATAACACATATTTTTATTTTTTCTTCATGCCTCAACCTGAAAATTCCACATTACTCCGCAATACATAGTGTTTTCAGTTTGTGAGTAAAGAAAAAAATTTACTCAAATCTAACATAAACAAGGCATCACTATATCTATTTAACTGAGTAGATGGTTCAGTAACTGTACTGAAGTACATTTTTGAGGTATTTGTACTTAAGTAATGTAATATACTTAATTTACGCTACTCTGTCCTTGTACTTTACTAAATTTCAGAGGCAAATATTGTGTTTTTTTTTTACCTCCCTTCCTATATATTTGACTCATAGAGTTACTAGTTCCTATGTAGAGTAATATTACATAAGAAACATATATGATACATTAAGAAAAAAAAATAAACTGCTCAGCATATATACACCAATGGGAGTGTAAATAACACAAAACACAATGAGTACTTTTAAGTATGTAAGTATTGCTACTTTTCATTGAGGATTTGAATACTTCTTCTACCACTAAATGCTTATCATCCATCATATGATGACAGTATATTCAAACCTGAACCTGACATGAAATGTCAGCTGTGTCACTTAGTAGGGTCTTATGTGAGAATGTTACATGTTAAGAAAGTAAAATTGCTGTTATCACCCTTATCATAACACTCCTACCACAAGGCCACAGGAAACTGCTGAAATAATCGCGATAAAAAGTCCCTATTTCAACAGAGAACACAAGCTGGTTAGTCCCGAGCTTGGGAAACACTGTGGCACTATCACAGCCTATAATAAAACTTTTATGGTAATTTTCAAATGATACATGACCACAGTAACAGTTTTCATGTCACGTTATGGGTCTTCTGTTCATCCATTTATCATTTTAACTGGACTTGTTTTTTTTTGCTGTTGTTTGCTATCAGTTGTTAGTGTCATGTCAACTTTTGTCTTGACTAAACTGAGGTCCTTCATAATTTAGTTTATTTGTAATGTAAGGTAATCCTGGTATTACAGTCAGGTTTTTTCCATAATAGCCTCTGGCAGTATATACTGAACAGTGTTATTGAGTGAAGATAGTCAAATAATGCCTTTGTATAAGGTGTTTCACCCAGGTATTGTTTATTTTTATATTCAGATCATATATCAAGCAAAATGCTCAACTACGTACCTCACCTTCAAAATAAAAGCACTGAAAGTGAAAGTATAGAATCCAACCACACCTATGCAGCACTTTCAGACACTGGGTCATGTGATCAGTCATTCTTTAGGATCTTTTATCACTTAATTGGTTTCTAATTTGGCCATGGAGGGAACAAGTGCGGTTCATGTAAACCATCAATCACCCTCAAGCCCTACAAAGCTCAGCCTTAGGACTCTGATGGAGAATTAGCAAATCATCCTCAGGCTGAAATCGACCGCTTTTTGTGTCTATAATTAGTATTATTATTGTCTTACAATGTTTAATGTATACTGTGGTGTACTGAAGTATATAGCATGTATATTTACCACCACCAAATCTCTATGTATGTCATCTGGAAATAGCAAATGCTTCATTAGAAACATCAAGCACAGATGCACTCACTCCATATTACGGCGTTGTGGTTACCTCCACTACAGGTCTGGCAGGTGGATCATTTTTCTTGTGATGTGATCTTGTGTACCTCTAATCTTATGATTTGAAGAGCATATCACCCACACATTAAGTTTTTAGAGACAACCACACCTTGGTTTTGAGTAGTTGGATATAATTCAACCTTTAGTTAAGCAAGTTTGTAGAAAATGTCACTTTGGGGAATACATTGGTTGCTCACGCCCTAAAAAGTCAAACAAAAATTTTAAATTCCGAAAAGACAAAGAAAAAAAAAAAAAAAATTATATGCACAACCTGAAAATGTATTGTTTTTCAACTATACAACAGCACAAATGAAACCGGCAGGCACGTGTACATATGCACACCCACACAAACTGACAGGTGTATACAAATAAATTTAGGAATACACCTTTGGTGATGTCCATACAAAATGAAAGACCTAAACACAAACAGCAGTTTCTTGTCCAAGCAGGAGATACTGATGCAACTGAGCAGTTAGTTGAAGGCTAATCCCTTAAGTCTCAGCTAAATATTTTAGAAACGTTATTTCATTGTTCCTTGATTGGCAAACTAGTCATACACATAGTGGAGTTGCAATACAGTGAGTAGGTACATTTGCAGAAACAACAAATCATAGAATTAATGTTGGTCATTCCTTCTTAGTTTCTTCCTGATCCTGTTTCACCTCTTCATAGGTACCATCTTCCTCTTTTTCCTCTCCATCGTCTGTCTTGGAGTTGGGGACCCAGAGCCCCGAATCTATGCACTTCTTCATGTGAGCCTTCGCCTCCTAAATCGTGTTAAGACAATCAAATTTATTAAAAAGGTATAACAAAAACACACAGATAAATGCACACTGACTGAAATATGACTCAAGCAGACCTTAAAAAACAAAAGTATTCTTTAAGAAACCCACCGTTGGGTCCATTTTGCTAATAACTTCTTGTAACATTTGAATGTCCTTGTCATCAAAGCATTTCTGCATCTCCTGCAATTTAGAACACACTCTGTAAGGGATTTTAAACAAACAAAAGAAGATAAAAGGAGAGTGCTGAGGCTTCATAAAAACAAAAGAACTCACGGCTGGCAGGGATTCATACACTTCAACAGGATCTAGTCCTCCAGGTCCTATGCGCTTTTGTCGCTCCTCCTCCTCATATTCCTTCATGGCCTTTTCTATGCGGATCTTCGCTCTGCCCCGAACCCGCTCCTTAAATGACTCCAGTTCATCATTGAAAGCTTCTTGGTACTGCTGATCCGCGGTCTGTGAGGGGACACATCATTTGGTGTGTTGATGGTCATGCAAATGAGCATTTAAGTGAATAGTCCAATTAGTATTTGCATTTAATAGGAATTCAAGAACTTAAAAGGGTAACCTAACCTCATTTTTAACCCTTGACATCACTTGTGACCAGACCCAAGCCCATTAGTGTTACTCAGTGTGGTCAGAGGTAAAACAGGCTTGAGGTTTTCAACCATAGAGGGCAGTGAAACACTTCTTTTCAATCTGGTGTTAAGTCACACTTAAACCTGTGTCTGGGTTAACCAAAGACTAAGTGAAAAAAGTCCCTGCTCTGGCGGTAGTACTTTCCAATGATTCAGAAAATTCTTACTTCCTCTGTTTCCTTCATGGCTCCTGGGACTTTTTGGTCAAAAAGGACTATAGGTTATTTCATTAGATTCTGTAGCATCCAATCACACTTAGTCACCTTAATCTTGGCAAAAAATTGACGAAAGCAACCGCGGGGGTCCACCTTGAGGCTTTTTGCCAACTCTAGAATGAACTGCATGACGATGGTCTGATGAGCCACTTGCCCCATCAATGCGTGTTTCTATAAAAAAGGGAAGCATTTTTAAAATAATGTCAACATTTCAAAAGAACACAATGGCTGTGTGAAGAAAGCAAGTTGTGGCAAATGAAGAAGATTCCTCAGTTAAGCCCAAACAAACTAACTGTATGGAATGGTAATAACCTTAGAACAAAATGTTGAAAAATAAATTCTGTTTTGTAGCATTTACCTCCTCAACTTCAAGGTCAATGCACATGATGACCAGGTAGTTGGCAGTCTCTTCACAAACTAGATGAGGGTTGTCAGAGAGGTACTTTTGACTGTCATCCCAACGTCGCAACATGCCTGCAGTAAAGACAGCAATTAAGGACAGTTCAAATATCAATACCCTGTAACATGCAGTAAATAACAGTTGTGAATGGATGTCAATAATCCTTACCAAAATGTTTGATCTGCTTCTCATATTTCTCCACAAAGGTTTTATGCTTTTTCTCCTTCTCTTCTTCTGTCTCTTCAGTAGAATCAGGGTTGATATTAACAACGCTCTATGGAGGACAGACCGTTTTAGACAATAATGATTACTTGATTCCTTTATATTCCTTTAAAGAAAGATTAACTTGTGTATATCTGAAAAGTCCAAGAAGAGTCAGATGTGTACATTATGCAAAATATACCGTCACATAATTAGCTTGAGGCAAGCAAACAACGGAGCTTGCAATAGCAACTTCACTAATGCAAATGTATCTGCATTGTATAAGCATTGGGAAAATGTAGCCACATTATTGTATCTGGGTGGCATGTTCCTTCATCATACTGAACACGACCAGTGTTTTTTCTTCTTAGCCGAGTGAACACAAAACTGTCTCCCTGAGCATGTCGTAAACTGACCATGTACATTGTAATGAAGAAATATGTGGCTGAACTCAATAGTGTGGCTCATTTATGTGTATTTGGACAAAAAGACTATATCCTGCTTTGCCTATAATGATGTTACTTCTTACCAGGATAAATTCATTGTTGGCTTTGTTCTCTTTAGGGGATTGGCTGATAATAAAATGATAAAAAATAATGCCGGTGCTATGCTAAAACAACTGATTTACAGTTGTATTATTACAATCTTCTAAATAACTTGTTATTTTGATGAAATAGGGGCAGCATGGTGAATATGGCAGCTGAAAAATATCTTCAGGTGAAAAACTATCGCCATACTATACAAATTCAAAAGCTGTTCATGTTTTTTTAATGTCTACTACAGCTCCACCAATAATAGATTTTTGAGTTCAATCAATCTGATAGCAATATCAATCAACCTTGATGCAGCCAGATCCTTAGATAATTTCTAATTGTGACCATAACATATACTAAATGTAAAAATCAACTTGACAGTGATCTCTGGTGAACAGACTATGTGATAGAGTTACCTAGTTTGGTATTTCTATACTGCAACTACAAATCTATCTGCAATGTGCTAATATTGACAAAGATATCCACCTGGCCAACATCTAATGTGTACCAATAAGCAAGGCAACATCATTCACAGCCGTAGAATGTGAAGTCTCTTGCTCTCCTGAACTAAAAACACACAATGAATGGCTCTGAGCGTGGGTCCACAACCCATTGTTTTCTAGCAGCCCCCTTTAACTGCTTCACCTTGCTGAAACCATCCTTGCTGAGTGTGTCGACATTCCACGGCATCTTCTTCTCTTCCCGGTTGTGTTCATCGATCTTCCTCTCCCACTCCCGTTCCTCTTTTTTCAGTTTCTTCTCCTCAGCTTGGGCTTTGCTCAGCTCTGATTTGGCATCATCCACTGTTGAAATGCTCAGCTCTTGTACTTTCTTCTGTGCCTCTGCCAACCTACGCCGGCATTCACGAAGTGTCTTGTTCATGTCTTCACCTCTTTTCTGGAAATCTTCCATACGCTCCACACGTGCCTGAAGCACAAATATTGCAACATCAGTCACAACCACAGTTGTTTCATGTCCCACCACACTCTTTAACTAGGTATCTTTATACCAATCTATCTGCAATAGAATCAGAATCAGAAATACTTTATTAATCCCAGGGGGAAATTACTTTTGTTACATATACTCCAGATGTAATAGACATACAATATATTAAAAATATAAAAGGTTTAAAATGTACAGTTTAAAGTCACACTTTCAAATGTGCAAAATGTGCAAAAATGGCAAGTGTAAAGTGTCCATATGTATAATATATAATAGGTTGCATTAACAGAGCCATTTGCTTTCTCTTGCACAGGAAACACTGCCCAGCTAACAGTTACAGTGCAATGTGCACCATTTATACCACATATAAACATCATGTATGGTATACCTGGTGTCTCCATCTGAAGAGGCTGGGTGTGTCGATGTTAGGGTGGGTGTCATCTTCATCGTCTGACACCTCAATGTGGTCCCACACGCTGTAATCTATCCTGGACATTATGCCAGCAAGAACCCAACGCAAACAACGTTAGCTTGGAATATGACTCGGCTAAGTTAGTGGGCTAAACGAAGCAAACCCGAATTTCCGATCAAAAAAAGCATATAACGCAAATAAAAAAAAACCGCTGATGTTTTCAGAGACGTGTACTTGTGTTCAATACAGCGGCTGGTTGTGCTGAGCCCAGACAAACCCAAATAAACCTACCTAGCGTGGGCTAGCAAGAAACTGCTACAGAATTCTAGAAAGATTTGCTGATGCAAATTTCCGTTTCACGTCAGTACGTCATTGCGTCACAAGGACGTACGACGCCGGAAGGCCTACAAGACGAGCTTCGCCTTTACGTAATGTGTTTGCCTCGATCAACCGCTTATCAACCTATAAACATTGTTGTTTATCACACTTATGAAACCATTTATCGAAGTAAACATGTATTTTTTTGTAAATTATGTAAAAATATGTATTTGTACATGAAGAATTTCTATTTAAAAATAGTTTGGTTTTACGTTGTAATATTCATTAATATATTTTTACTTTTTCAAAATGTTTTTTCTTATCATCTTTTTTATGTTTTCTAAAACCTCCCTGGCATATGTAAATATGGTTTGCTTATGTAGAAATGCTGTGTTAAAAATAAAGTTCACTATTCTCATAAAAGAAAGTTTTTCCTTTATTCAGTAAACTGTTGTAGATATAGAAATACCTAGAAAACATCTTCTGTTTATTCTAATATGTTATTCACTCTTTTTTAAAATGATTGACAACACTTATTTGTTAATTCTGTTTTTTTTTAAAAAAGGTAATGACAAATGCAGATATAAATATAAATGTATGTTTTCTCTGCAAGGGATTTGCCCTCGAACTACTCCATAGTGCAATAGTAAAAACATCTTCAAACTGTGTGTGTGTGCAGTCTGATAGGCCATTCATGCAAGTCTGTTGCATGAAATACATGAATACATAAGTTTATGTTTATAATAGGTCAAATATTTGAATAAAATCAACATTTCCTTTTTCCTCAAGTTTATTTAATTTTATTTTGAAATGTGGAAGGTAAAAAAGATTTAAGGACAACACATTGACAAATAAATGATTAAACAGTCAATAGGCTAAATTTCTTGCTTAGGCACCAGTTCAGCAAGCTTCTTTCTAGACTAATACATAAATTTCTCTGGGCTGACATACAGCAATCACACAGAGAGAACTTCACTGTAGAGTTCTGTTAAGTTAATCTCACAACAACAAATTTAGTATAGTGATACAAACTAGAATAGAATAACTGTACTTCATGCACATGATGATGTGCACTTAAGTTGCTGCAGTTTCTTAATTTCCTGTCTCTATAGCTCTGTACAACTGTTTAATGTAATATGTATGTGTGAGGTGTGTAAACAATACCTTAAACTTGCTTTATTACCATCTTCATTGTATTACTTATTTAAAATTAATTTATTAACTTCTCATACAGCCTATGTTTAGCATAGCTTTTCAGTGGTTTGCCCTTTGCTTATATAAAAAAAAAGGCTCTTAAAAAGTGCAACCAGGTCACCAAACTCATTGTACTAATGACTAATGGTAATTTAACAGGTGCAATCTGCTGACAGGGGGAGATGTACAGTCTTTACACACTCCCACAGTTAGAGTATCAGCAGTCTTATGCTGACATGTACAAACATGTGCCTGATAACAGGGTGTGGACACAGTGACACCAAAAGAAAATAATTCAGTCGAACTTCCCTTTAATAAATAGCTTTGACAGATTATATTATAATGTTCAGCTGGGCGCAGGTGTGGCGTTTAGACTTAACAAACACAGACGTAATTAATAATATTACACCCCATGCTCCAGGGCCTCTCTGCAATGACATGTCAAAATATCTGCTATGTCAAAGGCCCATCCAGATTTAAATAATACAGGTAATTTAAAGCACAGTTCAATACGTTTGTACAGATTCCTATTCTCCCAAAGCACACTGCACAGAGTGTTACACGCTCAACAAAACACTGACACAATGTTTCAGCCATTATTCCCATCAAACGCATCCCACAGGGAGCTTTGTGTTACTTTTGCTCTCCGTTGGGTTTGAGTCCTTGAACCCGGAGCAGCAGATGGAGTTTCCTGCATGTGTTTTGCAGCACCGCCGCATCTCTCTGATCACATCCTCACACATGCTCTCCACGTATTTGTTAGCTGCAGGACGGAGACGGAGTTAACTAAATGATGAGGGTGCCATTTGCTTATATGCTGGCGTTGATGGTGTCTGTTATTATCTACCTTGTAAACACGTCTGAATTGCACATGCTTGCTTTTGACACGGATCTTTCTGTGGCATACCTGGAAGGGAAGAGACAGGGACACATTTCAGAAGTTGTCCACTGGTAGTCAGCAAATACATATCAGGCGCTGCATATCTACCTTTATCAATTAGGGTTTGTTGGACGTATTATCGTAAGGTCTTGGATGAAAGGTCGTTTGCTAATGTTAGCCCCTAATGCTACTTCCGCCTTCTGCTGAGAGGCGAATGTTTTGGTCACGTGACGTGAAATGAGCGAATCAAGTCATGTCTGGAAAAAGCACAACACCGACACCTAGTGGTCAAATTATACATTTCACTTACAGAAGGGTTGCATATATGGGAATATATGGCACAATGAAACGTTTTTATGGAAGGTAATTATTATTCCATTATGAGGAACTGTTTGCTTTACTGTGTAACTAAAAGTTTTGTATTAAGCTTCTGCTTTTATGGCTCTTGTGATGAGTAAAATATAGCAGTCACACCCAGCAGTACACCACTAATACCAATACATAATCTTATTATAATAGGTATAATATAAAAAAACAAGGCTTTTTCATTTTACTTTTATTCATAAAGATAGGCAAATCAAGAAAGGGTTTATATTTACAGTAATGGCCTGCTGATCTTTAGCATTCAGTATTAAAGTTGATACATTAATGATAAAGTAGTCATCATTGCTATATCAAGAGTAACTACACATTTGTAATGTTACATGGTAATTAAAACGAAAATAAATCTAAAAAATATATATAAATTAGATACAGGATATCACATGGAAAGCATAAAAAGAGAGCTATATCCCATATCGCCAATCTATCATACAGAATACTGAAAACACAGACAAATTAAATGACAGTTACCAAACATAGTATATTCAGATCTTTTTGTAAAATGAGATCTAATTCTGCCTGATGGCAAGATCCTCATAAATATCTGCTGAGTCATGAATGCATTGTCAATTCCATCTCCAAAGCTGCAATAGTGAAATCCCCTTAGTTGAATTTTCCTTGCTTGTCCAATGTGGTCATCTGATCCCATCTCAACATCTCTTGTTTCAAACACCTAAGTAAAAGCGAAAGAAGAAGCTGATAAGGACACAGTGTAATAGAGACAATGTTCACATGTTCACTTCAGAGTTCCCTCCTACCTTTGGTCTTGGCCTTGACAATGAACTGTTTGCTCTTCTTCTCCAGTGTATTAGAGGCAGTGCAGGTGTAAGTCCCTGGGAGCAGTGAGGAGGAGGAAAGAACTGCTTCATCCTCCATCCTCTCCTGAATGTGATGGGAGGATTCCCAGCTATACACAGGCATGGGGTTTCCTGTGGCAGTGCAGTTCAAGCTCACTTCAGCACCCACTATAAAGTCCAAAACTTCTGGTTCAGGACTGAGGAATGTTGGGGGGACTAGAGAAAAAGATCACAGGGATTAGATATACCACCTCCAATGTATTACACATATGAGAACTCTTTTTAAGATAGCTTCATGACTTACAGTACACAGAGGCATTAAGAGGCTCCGAGGTCACAGCAGGAGGTGGTTGTGGTCCCTCAGGTCCGAGCTCCAGCACTGCTACACACCTGTACTGCGCTCCATTCTCGGCTTTGGTTGGTGTGACTACGAGGATAGAGGACACTTGGACAGGCGAGGAAGATGTGAGGTCAGTGAAGGAATGGTTGTAAACCTCAGTCTGCCCTCTGTACCACCTCAGGGTGAGGTACTGAACCGGAGCAATATTCTGAACCTCGCAGAGCAGCTGGTACTCTTTTCCTTCCACCATGGGGCCAGTGTGGTTCACAGGCCTGATGGACACACTATCTGGGGTTTCTAAATGAATAATACACAAAGTTTATGTCATTCAAACACCTTCATGTGAACCACAAAACTATGTTTTAAAACAGGTGTTGACTCACTGTAGAGGACGAGGTTGAGTTTCTCCTCACACTGTCTCGGGGCTGTGAAAAACACACCATAGCAGATAGGCTCCTCTATCCAGTCAATAAGACTCTCTACCTTCCACTGGACAGACAGGTCCTGTTGGGTGTGTGCAGCACTGATGGCCGATTCCCAGCCCAGGACACGTACAGGGCGAGCGGCCTCACAGCTGACCGACACCGGCTCCCCAAAGCCCACCACCACCCTGGAGGGCTTGAGGATTAGGGAGCAACCTTCACCTGACACTGAGACATACAGCAGCAGTTATCATCATTATAGCCAGTGTCTTTCCACTTGTAGCACTTTTATATTTAATGTATATAAGCAGGCTCTAGGTACATTTTATGTAACCCTGTTGCAACACACACACACACACACACAAGGAAATCACAAGTAGTAAATCAGAGATGGCCTAATATTTCTAAAATACACCTGTGTATAATAGTGAATGTATAGCTATCTTGCTAATTGTGTATTTCTATGTTATGGCAATAAAGTGTGTAGCCAGTTTAACCGGTAACCCGTCATTATTTTAGTTAGGTTAGTGTAGCCACCTAAACACAAACAGACATATACACCATACTAATTAGAATGATCTAATTCTGCGATGATTATTTCAGTGAAAAATAAACGGGTGCTTTGGCTCGCTATTGCACTCAATGTCATTATCACCGACGAGAGGTCATATGGTTAGCCCTGCGCTTTCGTTCATCAATGCACCACTATTTTCATTAAGACAACTTCTGCACTAAACAGAATTTAAAAAACCCAACAAGTGAGGAAAAACATGTTGCCAGCGACATCTTACCTGAGTAAAACAAGCAAAGCGTCAGAATCCATTGAAGAAAGTTGTTTCCCATGTTATTTTCTGCACCAAGGCGTCGATCAAGAGGCGAGAGAAAGAAAATTCCAACTTGAACGAGCTTGGCTACCCTGCAGGGAACTATGTTGGAACAAAAGGGCCCCCTTCATCCCAGCTGACTTTGGGGGTGGGGGGTAAAAAGGGAAAGAGGGAAATTTAACAGGTGGTAGGCCTCTGAAAAACACAGCCCAAACCTTTGTCCTGCATTGATGTTATAAGGAATTTAGCAGGAAATAATAGGGCTATATTACCACAGTAAATGTCACACTGGCAGTAATGCAGATACAACACTAAAGAAGCATTGTGCTACAGTGTGCTAATTATATTGTGGTTTGGATATAAGATTGAAACATCTATTTCCAATATCTGGTTTATTACAGAGCAAAATGTGACTGACATAATGAATATAAATACATTTATAATAACTGAGATTCCTTGCAATTTATAATATAAGGTTCAAATCATAAAGCCACTTCTGCAGTCCAAACTTTCCTTTGTTATCTAAACGGATTTCATCTGACCTATATAAATCTCCTGAATTTGCTAATCTGAATTAGACTATTATTTATGATATTGAGCAAGCAATGCTTTGTTTTTTAAATGCTCTCTACATTCCAGCATTAGGTGTGGCCATGTTGTGCTTTCCCAACCACCGATTTTATCTTTTGTGTCCCTGAAGAAAAGCCGGTTTTCAGTTCTGCTTGTACACTTGTGTCCTATTGGTTTTGAACTCCATGCTTTGTGCAATCCCAGCAGGCAGGAGTATTGGTGTTGTGCAGCATGTAGCTTGTAAGCCTCACACTGTGACCAGAATGCTACACAGCATATCCACTCTGAACGCAACTGCAGTGCAAGTGAGCAAGTAATCAGATGTTTTTTGGTGTATTTATAGAGAGCACAGCTGGGAATCTCAATGTGCAGATTACAATACATGCTCGCTTTACTTTGAATATGCTGCTCCTTCTTCAAGTTCTCTAGAGAAATATGTTAAGCTTGTGTGTCTATAATAAAACTTTTTTTTTTTACTCCATGACAAATGGAGCAGTATCCACTCTGCCAGGTTGTTATGGCAACACCGTCAGAGTATACACAAACAGTGCTTTCTGGCAAAAAAACATTACTGGGAATGACAGGGACTGAACATAAAGAACATGGTTTCAGAAAAAATAGGCTTATATTGGCAACCGTAGGCAGGATAACAAAAGCTCTCCTTTACATTCACTTTGTTCAGTACTAATTAGTATGGCAGTCTCAGCACTGTATAATGTAAGCCAGGCTGAATGAGAGAGAGAGAGAGAGAGAGAGAGAGAGAGAGAGAGAGAGAGAGAGAGAGAGAGAGAGAGAGGTCCAAGGGGTTCACAAAAGGTGGCAGTGAAACACAGCAATGAAAGACACTGGTTTGACTTTGCCTCTATCAGTATTCTGCTTCAGGATGTCACTGACAGAGAAGTTGGCTTTATTTAACAATTGATGTATATGCAAAAGCTGCTTACGCACACAATACATTTCTAAATTATATTCCCTTTAAAATTACTTTCCATTTTTCAATTAATTCAATAAGAAAAGGCATGCAAATGGAAAATTAGCATTTGGTATCTCTAGTACTTATTTACTGATACATCAGATAAACTGTATGGCACTGCTGGTGATTCATATTCACATGATTTAAATAAAGCAACTGACTAGCTCATCATATGAAATTGTAGGCACAACACAGATGTGGCACAATTGTAGTCTTTTCAGTGCAAAAACAATTCAACATTCCAGGGCCATACCAGTGCATACAAAACTAAACTAATAAACTAATAAACTAAACTTGTGCCAAACTGCATCATTCAGAGTACTCTCAAGTAATTACTTTAACTGTAGTATAGTGCCTGGACAGTATATAGTAAAAGTAGGAACCAAATATACCTGAGTGGAGAAAAACACAAATTTGTTTTCTTAAAATGTGGTCTTGTGTGTGTGCAGAGTTGTTAGAGATCTTGTGTTGCTTGTAAAATGAAAAAGCGATACGTAACAAGGCAAAAATGCAAGCAGTAAGGCTAGGGAAATACCTGTTCTTACTCCTCCTATAGCTTATCATCAGGCATACCTATTAAGGATTATGCCTAAAGTCTACAATATATATTGTCCTTTCAGCTGTTTTGGTCTAAACCATGAGTCTATGATCAATACCAACTCTCAACAAAAATATTTGTCTGTTCCATGCTTATTTTCATCACCTCTTTGAGGGTTTATCTAACCTTTTTTGTGCTGGAACCCACTTCCTGCTGCTGGTGCATAACAAAGTTGATTAGAACAGTTCAGACTGAACCATACAGTGAATGTTTAGACCATTAAACCAAAACAATGAGAAAAAAGAAGCTAATAAGCTCAGCAGAGATGCAGAGTTTGGCGGGGGTTCAACAGTAATTTGAATCAGTCAGTGTGTTTGCATTGACCTAAGTAACCGGGCTGAAAGGAGGAGGGAGAAGTACCACTGTCACAGCACAGCGACATGATAAAAGCACTAAAAGCACACATACTAATACATATTCAAAACAATTCAAAGTCAGACGCAAAGTGAAACAAACACAAAGTAGATTCTAAATATCAGTGAGTGAGTCAGGAAACAGCATTACAGTCCATTAACATATAAAATAAGAGAGCCATGCCAGGTTTCTATCTTCAATAAATGTTAACACGTTCTACGACTGATTGATTGATTGATTAGTGGAGCTTCAAAGACAGCTGATGGGATTATGTATTCAGAAAGCTACAGGTCAAGCACAAGCAGTCCACCAGCTCACCATGCAGAACAGACCACGCCCCCAGGCTTTTAAGAGACACAAAATGGTTTCTCCAAGCACCAAAAACCAAAAAAAAGCCATGCAAAATTGTATTTAAAAAAAGTCATCCTCATACAGGGCCTGAAGTAGGCTTTCCTCTGAGATAGCTGCCCTTCAAGAGAGAAAATGTTCCTTCGGGTGTCACAAAATAAAGGCCGCCAATGAAGAGCAGGACTCCCAGGGCTGTAAATACTCCAACCAAGGCAGCAAAGGTTGTACGATCCCCTGTGGGAGACGGGAGTTTTTGTTACATTCTCTCTCTTAGCTCATGTGTTCTGACCTTCTGGTCTTGGAGCAGAGGAGTTTATCTGTTTGTGATAAACTACACATCCCAAAATAAAGACTAGAACAAAAAACACAGCAATTAAAATCCCAGCAGTGGTCCCAGGGTGACTACCTGATGGAAAACGACAGCATGAAGAAATTATAGTATAGTAATAATTAACATGGCAAGACAATGTTGGAGTAGATCAAGCTCAGAAACATGATGATTTTAGGATCAATATCTTACTTTTAGCTCCGTTGACTGTGAAATATTTGGTCTTGGTGCCCTGGGTATTAGATGCTGTGCAGCTATAGGTCCCTGTAAGCTGAAAGGACGGGGTCAAAATGGGCTGATTCTTGATTTGTTTCTTGTCCGTCCGTTGTATGGGGTGTGGGAATTGCCAGCTGTATTCCGGCATTGGGTTTCCTCTAGCAGTGCAATTTAAAGTTACTTGACTATCAGCTGAAGCTTCCAGCGTCTCATTTTCCGGCTTGGAGAAGATTGGTGAGTCTGAGGATATACATTAAATTAAAATACAGACAGAGAGAGAAAAACAAAAGAGAAATAATGCAATTAAGAGAAACGCAAAACACATCCAATATTGTCGTCCATGATGGTTAAATTAGGATGGCATCAAAAACTCACACAGCACAATCAATCCATGTGACTTTGATTGAATCGGGTCGAGATCTGGTACACCGAAAAACTTCAGCGTTGCTTCACACCAGATCTGAGTTCCATTATCATCTGCATGGGCCGCCCGTCTGAGGACAGATGACTTATTGACTGGAGTTACAGTGGACTCGTCAAATGTTTCCGTATAGACTATCTCATTTCCTTTGTGCCAGTGCACAGAGAGGTTTCTCACTGGTGCAACATTAAAAATGTCACACTGCATGCGGTATTTTTTCCCCTCTACCAGAGGGCCCATTTCACTCGGCGGAGACATTGACACACTGTCTGGCATTTCTGTATAAAAGAAGTGACAAGTGCCAAAATGTTTAATGAAAACCACAAGTTTCAATGTCAGTAGGCCTAAATAATCAAAAACTACAACAGGGTCTGCAAGGCAACTTCAGATAATATTAAGGACTACTTACTGTAAACGGTGACTGGAAGGGTGCCAGCACACTGATCACCATCATAGAAATTGATGAAGCATAGTGGTTTTAAGTGCCAGTCTGTGACAGAGTCTATGTTTAAGGCAAGAAAAGTGCTCTCATTTGAAAGCGGTACACCTCCGTTTGTAGACTCCCAGCCCATTCCCTCTACCTGGTCGGATGATGAGCTGCAGTTGGCAGAGAACGGGTCCTTATATCTCACCACAGATGTGGGAGAGCTCAGCTTAACTGGACAGGAAGAACTCACAGCCTTTCCTAGAAGTACACAGTATATATTATAGGCATGATAAAATAGTTTTACACAGCATTATAACTTTTGTTTTTCACACTCTGGATTTTGACCCAGCGAAGACACATAGCACACATGGAATGGGTTGAGTGGTCACCAGTTAAAAAATAAATATATAGATACATAAGCAGTACTATCCTGTCACTTAAATGATCTCACAGACAGGAGGATATAAAACAAACAATGACACAAACAATGTAAATGCATGTTTTTTTAACTACTGAACTGAATTTACATTGAGAATTTGTGGCAGTCCTATTAAATACATTGATGTTTGCATAAATAAAGTAGCAAAATTCAGAAATGTCAGTTTAGCTTACATACAGTGTGTTGGGGAGCAGTGAACTACATGTAACTGAACTAGTTGTTTAACTACATTTTGCAGTAGCTTGCTGCTAGTTCCACAAAATCTATATTTGCAGAATGATCAAATTAGTTGAAATAAGTTATTATTTTTGGCCATTTTTTGTGTCGTGAAACAATTTTTCTTTTAATTTTAATCATTTGCTTGGATTGTCAGATCCCCTGTGAAAAATATTTGGTTGTAGTTGTTAATGTTTTCAATCTGATCTTTTTTAAACAAAACTTGAGTGTATTTGGTCTCAACTGATCATAACTATTCATTATTGTTAAGTATTATCAAATGTTCAAAGAAGGCATTGCATGCTATTTTAGAAGTTACCTGGCTGACAGAGTAACCCTGCTTGGATCAATACCCACATTATTTTTTTTATTTTTTTGGTATATATATATATAACATTTGAACAACTGGGCATTTTTTTTCCTATACACTCAAAAGTTTAAAATGCTTTTTCGAAACAGCTTTAGTTAACCAAACAATATTCCTCATTAGGGTGACTTTGAAGTGAAGTTTGAAATCATTGGTAGCTCTCAAAGTTCCCAACACTGTATCGCTGCATATGGTGAGCAACTACACTACGAATCCATGTCTTGTTCGCTGCTGCCCTCTTGTTCAGACATAGGATTTGGGATGATGACTTATTAAAGTTTACACACGAACTCAAAGTATAAAGACAATCTGCAAGGAACTCTGAAGGAAATTATGTACGAAAACGTGTTTGGATAATAAAGTAAACATATGATGATCATTAGGTTAACCGTATCAAACTATGGGCGTAGGCAAGCCTGAAGGCGAACCGTGAGGTTCAGACTACCAGGACAGATAGTGGCACAAACGTTAATGTAGCTTTGATCTAAGTTAGTTCAATAAAATCTTAGGAACAGGAAATCGAGCAGTTACCTGTAAACGCTATTAAGCCGCAGAATATGAAGACCCACATACTGATTTCGCCAAACAGCAACACCTTTACTAAAAGAACCACAGCAATGAAAAAAAAAAAAAACAGATCCCGTTTACTGATTTCCAAATGCCCTTCCCTTCTGCGGTGTCTGTCCTGGTGAGTCAGCTCATAGAAAGTCCCGAAAGTAAATGTATCTTTTGTGGTGCATTGAGATGTCCCTCGGAAGTTTCTGTTAGGTGGTTGGTGGTTAACAGCATGTGCAACATGCGGCAGCGAGCGGGTCGAGTATACTGCCAATGGGCTGGACTTAAAGGAGGAACTAAAATAAATACTTCGAAAAGCTTATTTGCTTTTCTCGCCAAAATAATTTATTCCACTCCCCAAATAGTTGCCAAGACCAGCCACCGGTTACCGGATATGGCGGACCAGTTACTAGGTGACCTGCGAAAAGTACAGGAAGTTAAATTCTCATTGCAATGTCAGTGACTTCTCATATTGCCCAAACTGGCTTACTAACTGTTTGAACGTTTCCACCGTGGAGCAAATACTATAATTCTGCAACCATAAGATAATGCATGTTACACGTACACATAGCACTGTCACATTACAGTAATTCATGTATTCAAGCAATTTAAGGATCAGAAAATGGCCCCTTTCCGATCAGGGGGCAGTTCTTGAGTTATTTATGTAATTGTAACGTATATGGTTGCAGTTCATAAACCCAAAGTTTTCAGTATTTCTGCAGATTTGTTTTGTGAAATATCAAACCTCTGCTGGATAGTACAGTGCAGAGGTTATTCTCAGTGTGTGGGGTGGTGCTCTCCTATAGGGTCAACAGCCTGATAAATGGAGATGCATGTGACCCCCTTGCTTATTACTAGTCCCATAAAAGACTGCAGAACAATAACTTTAGATGCCTTGTTATTTGGAGCTTTGTCACAGGTCTCTGAGGCAGATTTACCAGGCAAGAAGAAGCTTTTTTATAGAAGCAATAGTTGCACAGTATTATTAATAAATTGAAAACATGACAAAATGAGTCTTGTGTTTCCAGTCATACATTTATGCACATCAGATATATTCAGTCCTATAAGATTTTACACCAGTCACAAATATTTACAGCTGTATTCACAAAAGTGTAGGCACGACTTCAACTCCACAAACTTTCAACATTTTCAACTTTTACATACCTGTCTGCAGTCCATTTTCAACTTTTTACTTTTTCTCATAAATAAATATAAGGTTTGGCATTTACATAAAATATTATACAGTTCTGATTGTCATTGGGCAATAATGCCTGCAGTCACTCATACAAAAGCATGTAACTGTGGAACAAGACAATTTGCCCCAGAAGGTCTGGCCTGACGCGGTACAGCACAACAAAGGGTAGGCACAAAGAAGGCTACAGACTCGTAAGTGCAGAGTGGCTTACAAAACATAGTGAGCAGGCAATGTGCTCATTGTTTGCACAAGCAACGGTGTCCACAAATTGAGCAAAGCTGCTTCTCTTTTTCACAGATTCAATGTCACATCTACAGAGTGTACGATAAAAGCAATGGGGCAAGTGGTGGAAATAGTTAAGTGTGACTGTGTTAAAACCACAGCAGTCTCAGGGTCTTCACTTCACCACTTTAAATGCACGCTAACATCATTGGTTTGTAAAAGAATTACATACAGAGATCTGAGTTTGAGTGAATATCAAGGGGGCATGATTATTTTCTTTTTTTTAAATCAAGCATTATTGAATCCAAGGTCAATACAAACATTCATAACATCATAAATTCCCTTTGTGCACATTAAAAAATAGTCAGAGCCAAAATTTTAGTCCTTACTCCGCCTCTTCTTTCTGTCCAGTGAAAAATCCAGTAGTAAATATAAAATTGTACATCTCAAGCCAAGCTTGATTATTTTTATAATTAGATTATTCCATGAAGGGTAAAACACTATTATATGTGGGAAAATAGATGTGAGGATGAATAAAATGGATTCCCAAAAAGTGTGAGCCTGCTGCTGGCTGAGTGGTATTCAGGCTGTCAAACACTGTAGTTTCTGTTGGCAGAGAGATACAACTTATCCAGAGTGGTCAGCTATCCATTCTGTGCCATCAACAGATGTACTGCTAAGACAGTTTGGTCATAGGAAACTGCATGTCCCAGCCATTGTGAGCCACGTTGCCATTGTGGGTGCTGAGTTTGGGGTTTTTAAGACTGTAGCGCCGCATCCTGGTGTTCTTGTAGTAGATTGAGTAGATGAAGAGGAAGATGATGGAGATGACGACTACTGTGACAGCCACGAATCCAGCTATGAGGGGAAGGTAGTCCTCTGTAATAAAATCAAACAGGCAACATATTCATGTTTAAGAATTTGAGAACAAACTCCAATAAATAAAAGGGTCTCTATTTCTGGCATGCTTCACTACACGATCACTACGTCTATCTATATGAACTTTTTGTCTTTCTATTGAAATTTGTATTGAAGATGCACTTTACTATTTGGATGCAGATGCACAAAAGAAAATCATGAAAAGCCTGCTAATTATCTACTGCTAACTACCTAATTGTATTTGTATGATTAATGTAAAAACATGGAGCCCTTCTGATTATAATATCTGACAACAGAAAATAAGTCATTGTATGAAAATAAGCTTAATATTTGTAACAAAACTTACCCAAACTTCCTACATTCCACCCGGCATTCTGTCTTTTTGTTTCTGTCTTTGTACGCGAACAGCGTTGTATCATATCGCTCAGAGAAATTCGCACTGCACCAATTTGAAATAAAATGTATATGGCTGGGTAAAATCCTCCTCAAAGCTGTATAACTTTTGCTCTGCGGCTCTGTTGACTTAATATGCACTAGTGCTACCTCTACCTCTAAGTCATTTAATGCATTTGGTCTGAACAAATGTTATAGCTCACAGTCACACAGAGAAATTGTGTGTGGGTGGGGTTACTAATAAGCTTTGGCAGATGCTTTAACCTCAAGTAAGTAAAATAAAAGTTTTGAGCAACATAAATCCATAAAATATCTTATATAGATTGTAAAAAAGGGAAGAAGAAGGAGTACTTATTCATGAGCTTTAACCCCTTTCACTACTGGGATACTTTATATATTTAATAAAACAATTTATTTTAATGGTAAGACGTGCAGATTTGCTTCTACAAATTATACAATTGAGTTTAGATTAAGAGTGTTGTTACCTTTTAAAATCACTTCGACCTCATAGAAGACAGTATCGACATCATTGGTAGCGCTGCAGTTGTAGATGCCTGCTTCAAATACGGTGAGCTTGTTTTCAGACTTATCAGGCTTTTTTTCTAAGCTGTAGAGCCACTGGATCTTTGGAGGTGGGTGACCGTCAGCCTCACAAACGAGGTCTTCAGGATAACCTCTGAACACAGGGATTGTCTTTGGAAGCATTGTGGTATTAATGGTGGGTTTATCTGTTGATGGCAAATAGAGCACAGTGATGAAATGTCCCCAAAGGAGTTACAGCAGAACTACACTAACTATGCTAATATGTTAGTTGGGTGTGGAGACGCTAATAACATTTAACACTTTGTCCTGCACTTTTGATGTCACAGTGTTGTCTTAATCGTGACTACTGAGCAGTAAACTTAAATGTGATCTCACAGTTGACAGTGATGTTGAGGGGATCGGACGTCTTGTTTGGAGGCGATTGTTGTCCGTCAAGTTCAAGATCCAAACGAGCCACACATCTGAACGTTTTTCCGTTGTGCGTTCTGTTCAGAGTGACGGTGATGATAGAAGACACATTCAACGGGGATCGGATCATACTGATGTCACAGTCTGAGTTATTCCCAGACAGGCAGCCAGTCACTTGCATTGAGCCTGATGGACAAATTAACATTTTGAAGAAAACACAAAGTAAGATTGCATTTAATTCATACATTGGCTTGGACATGATGATGACAGTGAATAAGGGTCGAACAATTATATGATCCGATATTCCACCTCTCTGTTTGTAGTTTCCACTGTGATCTTGCTCAATGTCCCGCCGAAAACGCTCTCTGATTGGTCACACGTCTCAAGTAATAGCCTATCAACACTGAAGGCTACACAGAGGAATTCATTTGCTAACTAGAACAGCTCCAGTGAGCGAGCCAAGCTGTTAAGGTACTAGTATTTTACTTTTTTACAGATTTTCTGCTCCGTCTTCTTTTACTCCACTACATTTTGGAGGCAAATACTGAATTTTTTACTTCACTAAATGGATTTGATAATAAGTACCTAGTTTCTTTGCAGGTTTATAAACTACCCAGCAAAATATAAAGTACTTAAAATGAGCCCTGCCAGATGAACACATGAATGCATCATTAGTTATATTCTAGTAACACAATATATGTTATTTTGAAATGGGTCATTCTGCATTTTTACTTTTGGTACATTAAGTTTATTTTGATGCTAATCATTTAAGTAAGATTTTGAATGCAGGACTTGGTATTGCTACTTTTACTAAAGTACAAGATCTGAGTAGTTCTTCCACCACTGGTTAATCCATACGTGGATTGTATAGATGGTGTACAGCTGTTAGAGTTTTAGTTAGTTAAAGTTTTAAATAACTGAAACTAACTAAATGCATACCACAACTGTTCTGAAAATAAATTAAACATAATTGTATATGCATATCACTTCCAAATATCACTTGTCAAGCTCCTTAATAACTGATAATTGGTATATGACTTCTTTGGGTTGCCAACCGTTGTATTTCACTCTCTGCTCCGTCAACATAAACCGATGTTTTCATTTGACATTTACACAGTGCTACAATGAAAATAAAAACCAACGTGTTATGCTGATATAAGTATCCTCAAATGAGTCAAACACTGATGCAGATAAGAGATAATCTGGTGAGAAGACAGAGTTGTGATTATCGATTCAATGAACTTCCCTCACGGTGCACTGTAAAATAATTTCCCACCAATCATGCTGGTTGTTTAATAAGCAATATCTGATCAATAAAAGAAATTACGCATCATTAGGATAACCAATGAATATTAAAGTTAACATCAAATGTTCACACACTTCAGTCAGACATTTGAACAAATCTAGTTTCATCAATTTACTCTGCACACGTCTGTTGATGCTGCATTGCTTTGTACTGAAAAAATTCAACTGGCACTGGTAGATTTACTTGGCCTTACAGACAAGTTAGTGTAAAGAAAAGATTCCCCACCTTGGATGCTTGTTTCAAAGATTTCATCCCCTCTGTACCAAAGCACAGTGAGGGTTTGTGCAGGAGCAACGTTGGTAATGTCACACCGCAGCTTGAACTCGCTCTTCTCCAACACTGAGCTCGAGTTTTCCACATGATGGATGGAGACACTGTCTGGTGTTTCTGGGGAGACGATTTTAAAAACGAAATCAGAAACAAAAAAAAAGAATCACAAGAAATACGTTTAAAGTTTATGACAGTGAAAGTACAAAAATAAGTTGGAAAAACATACTGTAGAGAGTGAAGTTTAAACGTTTCCCGCATTTTCCTATTCCCTTAAATGTCCCATAACAAAAAGGCTCTGGGTCCCAGTCTTTATGGGTGTCAGCAAACCAACTTGTGCTGTCAGTTTTGACGCCTTGAACCGTCCAGTGTATTTCTCCGTCGACATTGCTGGAGTCGGTGGACGCTGCCTTGCATGTTGCGTTTTGGCCTCTACTTTGGTATTCAATCACCATCCTGTCCGGAGTTATTTCGATAGGGCATTCTTGCTTGGCACCTGTGGAACATAAAGTGGGGTGGGTGGGGGTCAAGAAATGTTATTCCAGCCTAAGTCTCCATACACATCCATTATCTTAACCCAACATTTCCACATCCAGCGCTGTGGTGGAGTGATGAAAAGGACTGCAGAAACAAAAGCCGCGTCTCAGGAGGCAACAGGAAAAGGCTCAGGAAGGATATACCCCTCCCTTACGAAAGTCTGCACTTGCTGCCCACCATTATTACAGCAATGTCCTTATCAGTGAAATGCGTCACATTCCACCCATTTCCATCAATTAGAACAAACAACAGGAATATTAACGTGGAAAGATTTAGTTTCATGAGAAAACTCTAATATAAAAAAGGACGTGAGAGGAGGATTAAAACATTACATTACATTACATTACATACTACAAAAGGTCCCAACGTATAATCAGACCCACCTTACACCACCAAGTACTATTACTGTTTTTCCACTGGTATTCACACTCACAGTCATTGCTCCCTATTTAAAGCACATGTGAATATTTCTCATTCAATTCAGAATTTCCAGTCTCCTCTCAACTTTTTAAAAAAAATAAATATCACTGTGTTGCTTTAAATCTCGTCACTCAGCAGGCTACTTAAATAGACCAGAACAATCCCACTTTTTGTTCCTTATAAGTCCATCAGCCTAATAGAGCCGTTTCAACCTCGACATTAAGAATAAAAAATAAATTAAAAAAAGGTAAACACGAGGTCTGTGACTCGCTCTCATGTTGCACAACTTACTCGATCCTGTCCCGTTACAAAGCGACAGCAGCTCTAAAGTAAAAAGCACCGAAAGGAGACGGAGAGAGTTTAAATCATCCATCGGAATGAAGTCGCCTTGGAGGGTTTTTTCCAGCAGCTGTCCTATCCTGTTACTCCGAGCCCGTCTGAGGTTTCCCCCTCGCTTCCTCTCCGCTGCATGGGACGAGCCAGCAGCCACTTGTTGACTTTTTTTTGAGAGAAAGCGAGCTAAGCTAAGCTAAAGGCTGCATGCACTCACTGCCAAGCTCCCGGCGCCTCATCACCGGAGAGGAAACTGGGAAATATCCCTCCACCCCCCCAGCAACACTGGGCACGCACACACACACACACACACGCACACACACACATACAGGACAAGCCCTCACACCCACTGTGTCTATAAATGTTAGTGGCTGGTTGTGTAAGTTGGCTACAAGTGCATACAGTGGCAGTGCTGGTGAGACTGAGGGGGTATGTCATATGGTTTGCAAGTATTTGTTTATGTACAACTTAATTTAATATCATCACCTTCAAACCTGCTGATGTTTTGCAGGTATGATGTTTACCATGTTCACCAGCTTAGTGTAGCATGTGAGCATGCAAACATTTGCTCACTGTAAAACCAAATAAGTTAATTTAACTTTAATTTGTAAAAAAGTTTTGTGTGAAAGCAAAACACCTAGTAAAAGGTTATTAATCAGTTATTAACTAAGTTAGTGCCATCTAAAATTATTAGTAAAAGCAGCTTAATTAGGAATAATTTTTAACCTAAAAAAAATATTTTTGTGTTACTTAAAGATTTTGATGCAATCAGTTTCAGCAATGAATTGAGTTAAAGGAACTTGGCTCTTGGGAATGCCATTTGTTTTGCAGTTATCTGATCATAAATCAAAGTATTGGACAACTGAAATTTAGGCCTGATGATGGCAATAGATGAACATAAATATGTAAAGTTTGTGTGAATCTATCCAGTAGATGTAGAGATATTTCACAGAATAAATAAGAAGACAGAGACAGACATAATAATGTAATGAGCAGGCTACTGATGACAGACGAGCTCTTTAAACTGTTGCATTAGCCTACTGATTACATTAAAGTGGTAGATACATTATATTGACCCTACCTTTTACAGTGACTCTGGCCGTTTTAGAAACATTTCCTTTGTCATTCGAGGCATGACATGTGTAAGAGCCCATGTTGTATGCATTAGCATTGTTGATAACCAGAAGGGACACTCCATCTTCATTTTCCTCCACCACATTTGAAGTCCGGTAATAATTCCAGATATATGTTGGCCGTGGGTTGCCCATGGAGGAACACTTTAGCCACATTGTAGAACCAACGTAGACTTCAGAGTCTTCAAGCTCAACTATCTGTGATGGTGGGTCTTGAGACAACAACGTAAAAGTCAGAGAGAAAGCACAAGTGCAAAGAACTAATAATAGCTAATAGCAAATATTTAGGATTTTCATAAAAAAAAAAACTTACATAAGACATTAATCTCGACTGTGAGGCTGACACTTGTCAGATTGTTTGAAGCTGTGATCAAGTACTGCCCTGCATCACTTCTTGTTATGTTCTCTGGAAGCTCCACCTCCTCGCTATCTTTATACCAGATTATATCAGGTTGAGGATAACCCTCAACCGTGCAGGTGAGGTTGTGAGGAGCATACTCCAGTGCATGGAAAGAGCTCGGACACATCAACTCTGGTCCATCTGAAAGTGAAAAACACAAAAACACTTACACACACAGTAAAATGCTGTTTACACATTAAAGCATAAATAGTAATAATCCAAAAATATGTAACACTTTGGCCGTTCTGCATAATAAATACTTTAGAATTAAAAAGTTTAAGTATATTTGGTTGACAATGCTTCTGCTTTTTTGAGGGCCATGGCCTTGGTACATGGGGCACCAGCTTTACCAGGTGAGTTACCAGGGCACCCCAAGACCTTTACTTCTTATTATTATTTTATATATTAGTATTGTTTTTTTTACTGAAGAAAAATATCTCAGTGCTTCTCATACCACTACACCTAGCCACCCTAGTGTCAGCTAGGGCCAAGATTAATATGTACATCAAGCAATTTGCAATATAAACACTACATTGAAGACAACTCTAATGAGAATTCCCAAAACAAAATGTTTTTCCTCTTCATGCTCATGTGGGGCCCTAGCTGTTGGTGCTGATGACTGGACGTGACACTCACACAATACAAAAACCCGGAGTTTGTGGATGAAGGAAGAGGCCTCATCTTTAACGGTGTACAGCCCTGCATCCCCTCTGCGCAAAGGGGTGGACGAGTTTACGTGCTGTCCATCTTTCAGCCACCTGACAGCCGGGTAGGGATTTCCAGTCACAAGGCAATGTTTCTCCAAAGTTTCCCCTTCCAGTATCTCAGGGTCAGAACAGTTTACATCTGGTCCAACTAGAAACAAACAGAGCAACTATTGATATATACCTTTATTAAATGGTAGAAAAGCAGCTAAGAGAAATGAGGCACAAAAACTGATGAAATATTGGTATTTTCCCCTTTTAGACGTGTGGTCTTGTTAGATCAAGATCATTTACACTACCTCAAAAACTTGTAGAACTTAGTATACTATATTAGGCCTGCAACTAACTTATTTTCATTATCAATTAATTGGATGATTCTTTTCTTGATTAATAATTTGATCAAAAAAACATTAAAAAAACAAGAAAATTGTTTATTTTGAAGCTCAAGGTGACACCATTGGGTGACTTGTGTTGTCTGACCAACAGTTAAACACCCAAAGATATTCAGTTTACTATAGTAGGAGAAGAAAAAGCAGCAAATGCTCACAATGTAGAAAGTGAAACCAATATGTTTTTTTATCTCTTTTAATTCAATTTATTCGATTATCAAAATAGTTGCTGCTAAATGTTCTGTCCATCCACTAATCGAGAAAAGAAAAATGTAAATAACAGACATTAAAATTGTCTGTTTTAAAATACCTAAATATGCTTAAAATAGATAAGTACACATGATATACTTACAGTGAACTGTGATATTATACTCCTGTGATGATACACTAAGGTGTGGGCCCTCTGGACCCAGGTCCAAATGTGCCTCGCATCTGAATGTGACTCCGTTGTCTTCTCTCTTCGGTATAAAGCTGAGGACAGATGGCTGATTCACTGGTTCCTTGCTGGTATTGTTAAAAGTGTCTGTATAGTGGACTGTATCTCCTTTGTACCACACTACTCTGAGATCCTGAACAGGTGCTATATTGTCAATGTTACATGTGAACTTATATTCCTCCATTTCTTTCATCACACCATCGTAGCTGCTGCTGCTAATGTTGATGGTTTCTGGAAATGCTGGAGAAAACGTAGAGGTAATCAGACACAGTCCTAGTGTTCTGTAGTACAGTATAACATATTATTCTGTTGTGTGCAAAATAAACAGACTTACTGTAAACTACAAGTTTTAGTCTCACAGAGCACTGGTCTTCTGGACCATCTAATAGGTTGATGTAACACGAGGCAGTGGTGGCCCATGCTGTTACGTTCACAGTCCAGGTCAAATTATTGGCCTTCACTAGACTTATGCCTTCATGTGTAGCCTCCCAGCCCATTCCTTCGATCTGGCTCGCCGATGTTCTGCAGTTTACTGAAACTGGGTCTCCATATTTCACCACAACACTGGGGGGGCTCAACTCAATGGGACAGGAGGCATGTACACCTACAGTGCAGGTACATGTGTCACAAAATTGCCACAAGAGAAAAATTTCATTGCAATGTTTTCCTTGTATGCATTGTCAGTAAGATTGATTCAAAGACTCATGGAAGTAGTAGTTATGTATGGAAAGGTTAATAAATTCTGGCTTAGTCAAAAAGCTGGGGGAAAAAAATCCATGCTATTCATTTTTGTTTTCACATTTAAAGGTCCAATGTGTAGGATTTAGTGGCATCTAGTGGTGTAGTCCCCCTTGCTTCACCGTCTTCTTCCAAGTGTAAAGAAGAAACTATGGTTGCCCATTAAACGTGCAAAAAAACACAGCTATCTAGAGCCAGTGTTTGGGTTTGTCGCTTCTGAAGTACTGTAGAAACATGGAGGTTCAAATGGCTCCTTCTAAGGTAACAAAAACGTAAGAATTCTTATTTTCAGGTGATTATACACATATCTATGAATATTATTGTTATTATTATTCATGTCTGCCAATAGATCCTGTTAAATGTTACACACTGAACCTTTAACTCCAGTAAGTAAGCAATACCCTACCTCGTAAAACTCTTAATTGCTAGCCTATAATAGCCTACAGGTTTTCCTAATCGATGAGCTGAAGTGGGCCTTTAAAGCATTTTGTCTATCATATACCATACAATATTTCTTATTTTAAAAAACATTTTAGGCAAAAATAATACTGAGATGTTTACAGAATACAATTATATTTAAATGAAATAATATTAATATATATTAAAATTATTAACAAGGTGAAATAATGCACTATTTTGAAGGAGAACCACAAGGCTGCACCTTGGATGTATAAAGAAGAACTGCCCTTTTCCTGCCATGGGTGTTTTCCCCAAACTGTCATTCTGCAACAACAATTGTTTTTAAACAACTTTATTAACAAAAATAATAAACAGCAGTCAAACATCATAGCTTTAAGAGTCAGATTTGGCTATATGTTTCAGTATACTCTTGACTTTTCTTTTTATCTGGTTACTGCTTTCAAAGAATCCCCATGGTGACATTACACAAACTTATTAGAAAGTGTAAGGAAGTATAGACTTATATATTAAATGTACCCAGCAATATGATCAAATTATCTTTAAGACTGTTTGCAATTAATGTAAGCAAAATGTTGTTGTTGTTTTATCTACACAGTCCTCTAAATCTTATCAAGAGCCCAATAATTGAAATCCACATAAATGTAAGCTATTCTTCAGCTTTATTTTAGAGATGTGGGACTAAAGCTAGACTCCAGCCAATTCCAGTAAACTGTGCAACATAACAGGATGTTGTGAAGAGCCAATAAATGACTGTTACCACAACTTAACACTATTAATTTGAGGGAATTAAGTAGGAGGTCTGATTTATTTGGCCCCTCATTCTTACTGGACTTTCCTAATGTTCTCAGATGTATTAGAGTATTATTCACTGTCTTTATAAAAGATTGCGTCAGTCTCAGATTCCCATACATTCTGTAATAATCTTGTTTATGTGAAACTTCTTTGTTAAGGCTCAGTTTTGCCCTCGGGGACTTACGGAGCTGACAGTCTCTTTCTTGCCATATAATACCGCTCCCTTCTGGTTAAAACCGAGTTCTGCAACTTTGCAATGTGACAGTTTTACCTGCCGCTATTTTAATGTTAATAATGAACACACGCTTCTGATAAAGCGGTTGCCTATATTGCGTTTTCACATTTCAGTGCATTTCATGTAGAGTTGATGGTTAATCATTGAAGTATTCCCTGTGTACAATGATAAGACAGTATAGCCCTCATTAGGCTACATACAGTATAAAACCTATAGAGCCACAACCTCAGCAAAGAACGTGAAAAGAGCCTACCTGTCGCACTGAGAAGGAACCCCAGCAAGAGTCGAAGAAATGATTTGTTTTCACTCATTTGATTTGAACAATGTCCCTTTTGTCGCTTATTCCAGCTCTGCTCAGCTTCTCTTCTTCTCTTCTGGCTGATCCCTTGCAAATCAATGAAGTAGGCTACATCTAGAGGAGAGAGAGAGAGAGAGAGAGAGAGAGAGAGAGAGAGAGAGAGAGAGAGAAAATACAGCCAACACACCATTAGACATGCTCTCTTTCTCTCTCTCTCTTTGTGTGTGGGATATTTCTGTTATTCATGAGTCAGGCGTTGTTATCCATGATAGGTTCTGCTCATGATGTTTCTTAGCACTGATTCATGTTTTTATTTCATATTTAATGTCTAAACTATTTCAGTATGTGTGAGTAACTATTTCCCTAGTAAGTGAGTGGTTTAGGATTTAAGGCCACTAAGATTTCTTTTTAAAGAACCAGGCAAACAAACTAAACAAAGGACATGAAAGCAAGGTAAGGCAAATGTATTTCTAAAGCACCTTTCAACAAGGCACTTCCATGTGCATGAAACATACAGTTACATGCTCTACAGAAGAGGTCATGATGAGCATGATAAATGTATAAACAGGAAAGTCTAAATTTGAGTTAGATTTGCATGTTCTGCATAGTGTTTTTTTTTTTTTTAGAGGTGTCAACAAATTTTAATTGCGAATATTGGCCTGTTTTACTGATTTGTTTACATATATATTACAAATATAAATACATGTTTGTATTTGTATCTGTATGGACAGCTTTTTAATATATGGAAACAGAAATAAATAAATAAATGAAATTAAGTGCTTACTAGTACTCCACTACTTGTTTTCAGGTTTGACGCACTGCTGTTTAAACTAGTCAGCTGCCGATAGGATACCTTAAAAATGTCTCATATCTATCTATGATGCTGTTTACTCCTGCTTAACTTCTGCTTAAATATATTATATTATATTATATATTATATATAATTAAACAAATATTTACGTAAAGCTTTTTTAAATTAAAAAAGTCATACTAGTAAGGAACAAAACATACTAGTGATATCACGGTATCATGCTCCTTTTCTCAATTGGGCTAAAACTTAAAAAAAAATATATATGCATGGTGGAAAGCTTCATTAGGTATGCCCACACTTCTTAAGGTCACCAGAGGATAGATTCACACCCACACACACACATTTCAAGACAGATCGAGTGTTTGCAGCTCTCCCAGCATTATGTTTACATATTTTAAACCTAATGTGTTATTACTTTTGGTTAATTCTTGGTGTAATACTGATTCAGAAAAATAAATGGTTTATATATTCAATAAGATCCATTATTGAATTAAATGGAGCTTTAAAATAAGCCAATATGTAAACATGTTGGCCTTTGATAAAACAATTTGGTGCCAATGAGGCGCCTTTTACTTTCAGGAGGAAGCCAATATGACCTGTGGAATTTCCACTTTACTCAGCATACAGTCACATCCTGTTTGTGGTTGTTTTAGATTTCACAACAAGTACAACTTATTCCAGGATATGTAGGATATGGATTGCTTGGGAGATTTTGGAATGGTTGTAGAGATGCCATTACCTTAGGGTGATGACATATCTCCACCAATAAATAAAAAATCTGCAGGCTGAGTGATTTTATAGTAGGGAAAAAACACCCAGTGTAATCACATCCTCCCTGAGCTCTGGTGACCCACGGAAATGATGAATAGAAAGCAGAACAGAACAGAACAGTGTTTGTAGTTAAACTAGAGAAAGTAAGAATGCTGAGAATAAACAGCTGCACACAGCAAGATGTCTTTAATCCAGTTAGGGTCAAAGGTTATTTCAGCAGTCCATCAGATGGGAGCAGAAGGGGATGATAGAAGACGATATGCAACAAGGGAGGCCCTGAAAGGCAAACAGGGGGCTTCATTTAAGAAAACAAGCTTAGAGATTCCAGTCATGTAGCTGAAACACTCCCTATTCACAGGAACTTAAAAAAGGAATTGCATGCACTTTTTCCACACTATCACTACAGGAAGTCTATGCACACAGTCATGACAGTCTCAGAAGGTTACTATTAAAATTAGATTATTATTGGCGACATGCAAACAGTACGCTTTGATCTCTTGATAAGATTTTCTAGTAACAAAGCCAGAGGAATTGAAAACAAAACTTGCTGCAAAACAGAACTGAAACTCTCAAAAGTGTGTCGGACTCCTCTAAATGTCATTAAACATGTGATCACTATCTGATTTATTTTTCACGGGTACTTCCTGTTTATGTCCAGATATGCAGGGTTCGAACTCAGCCTTTAAAGCATTTCCAGCTCATTTGGAACTGTGCTCAGATGTTTATCTTTTATATATATGTCATTAATCTCCCCACAGGATATATCATTGTGTGTGTGCTGGCTCAGGCTGTTCTGCTGTTAGACTAAACAAAGTCTTATATTAATGGAAATCCCCAAGCAATGACAAAACTGAAAGTGTTGGCATGAAAGGTAATTAACAAAGAGAAAATGAAGCTGAAAAATCCCCCATTGAGTTAATTCTTCTTGAATTTTTCTTGGTAAAAAGGTGCTGGTTACTTATCTACGTGTTATTTGTCAACATGCCAGAGCGGAGAACAGTGAATGGGGGATAAGTAAAGGAAATGAGCCATCTACAAGTTAACTTCATAAACGTGGAGATATAGGGAGATAATGCCACCTCTTTAAATACCCCCCTCTGACAAAGAGGAAATGGCTGTGAAAATATCTCAGAGAAATGGACATGGAAAAACACTTGACTACATGACAAAAAAATCCAGTACCATCCAGTGACGAATGACTTGTCGGGAAACTGATAGGGTGGCCTTGTGCTTTTGACAAACAACCTACATCAGCTTTAGTGACCAGATGCTCTTTTACTCACCATCTCTGTGTCTGAATTAAGGAAGTATTTAATGTTCAACTGGTAGATTTGTGGAAACAGGGACCAACACGAGAGACATTCACAGTGCAACAATATGAGTGTTGTCCATTTACTTACTGAAGCAAGGCTTACTGTAATGTGATCGTGGAAAATGCAAGAGTCTAACAGAGGTCCCTCTGTGTCCACAGATTCCTTGTGTCTCTGCTGGCATTTTGAAGCTATTTTCTTTATCTTGTGCAAGTGCAATGATGCCAGTGTCATAATGGCTCGACAGACTTTGTAGAAAGCACTTTATAAAATAGATTTTTATGCATACAATCAAAGATATTGGCCTGTCCTCCACACAGTGTCATTTTATCTTGCTTCCTGGGAAAACTGCATCATACCTCAAACTTCACAGTTTCAGCTTACTAAACTGGTAAGGATCTCTTACTCATCCCCTGAAGATAATTCACCCTGGACTTGGTCAGAAGCTCAAAGGAATGTCAGAGTAATTCCAGATCCAAAACTGTTGCACAACAGATTTGTCTTTGTATTCAAAATGTAATCTAGTTTCAACACACTTGATTCCGGTGTAGACCTCATGCTTCACCACTGAGAGTTAAGACCCTACATACCACAACATTGAGTAAGAAGATTTCCCCTGCCAAGGACTGCATTCTTCCCTTGATCATTAAACTGAGCATAGGTCACTTCTGGTATGCATGTCTGCTTTTGGGAATGATACTGTAAATAAGTCCAATATCTGATTTCATACAAACTCTCCTGAAAAGGTTCACAAAACATTGCAACATTCCTGATGCAAGCCTAGGCCTACTTGATCACTCATGTCTTTAGTCACAAAACTTCATGTGAGAGTATTGCAATGGATGTATTCTCTTACTACAACACAAACCCAACATTAATCTTCCCAGATGGATCTCATGCTAGTAGCAATATGCCTGATTTATTCAAATGAATGGGAGTTTTGGCCTCAGTGTAGAGCACATTAATAACAAGACTAAGAATCTACAGTCATGCTAGTGCTGTGAGGCTGTATTTAGGCTGTGAGCTAATTGCTTACATCAGCATGGTAACATGCTCAAAATCCCAATGCTAACATACTTAGCAAAGAGGTGCGATGTTTACCATTTTAGCTTAATATGGGAATGTCATTAGTTGTTAATTAAGTATTTGGTCATATTCCAAAGTATTTTTAATTTGTTGCTACATGGAAAGTCAGTTGATCAGCAAAGTGATTGCAACTCATCCCGAGGGGCGGGCATGAATGTCTGTACTAAATGTTATGGAAAGAAATTTAAACCTCATGGTGGCACCAGAGGAAAGGTCAGGGCATCACCAAAGTCTTTATACATCGTATGGAAACCACGGATGTCTGTAACACATTTTGTGCCAATCCGTTCAGTATAGGTTGAGATACACCTGCAGGTTAAATGACCTGCATGTGGCGCTACAGCTCACGTCAGGGCATCTCCAAAGTAAGTAGAATTCATCCTCTGGGCATCAAGAATGTCTGTACAGGATATCATAGCAATCCATGATCCAGTCCAAATTGGCAGACAGACAGACCAATGTTGCTATCCCCAGAGATTCAAATTAGTAATGGAAATAGACAGGGTAAGTGTATTGTATGCAGGAACCAGATAACAAGCAGGAAATACCCAATTCACTACAAATAATTCTAAGTAGTCCACAAAAGACAGGAAGAGATCAGTGACAGAAGAAATCAGTGCGAGATTTGGAGCTGTGCCAAAGATCGTTACAGATTGCGTGCCTCCTTTCCTGATCTTATTTCTTATCAGATGACCTCCGGTTCTACTGGACATCACATGCATTAGATCTCCTTCCTTTTTATAACACCTGTCTTCTGTGTCCACCAGTTCCAGATTGCATTGCATCAGTTTATTAGAAATAATTACCCTGTGAGCCTGTCCCACTATTTACTCCTCCCCTTCACCTTTACTTGTTAACAAAGGCAATACATCCTGTGGTTTGAGTGTATTTGGATCTCTGCCAGCCAATGTAAAGTTAGCTCACAATTTCTGGCATGGTTTAAGTGTACCCCACCCCTTCCCTTCCACTTTTTACTTTCTGTCTGCTCCTTTCTCCTGTCTCCTTTTAAATGCAACAGCTCTCTTCACTTGGAAATGAAGGAGTGTTAGTCCTGATGGCTATTGGGAGTCTGAGACTGTTGAAGACCTCCTTTCACAGTAATTACATTGTTTTGTTATATTGTTTTTTCGAAGGGAGGCTCACTCCTGTCCAGCTGAGTCATGGGAGAAGGCCTCTCCAAGAACAATCTGCCCCTTCCAGGTCCCCCCTTTGCTCAACTGTGTGCTGACAACAATCAGATTCATCCAGAAACTGGCGGGGGAGGATGAGTCAGAGACTCTGCCACATAACCCCCCCTAATTATGATGACATGATAAAACTAGACATGTTTTGATTAGTACAACACTGAACAGTTTCCCGAGAAGACTATGAATCACCTGACACAGAAATATAACAATATCAGTATTTTTTTCCCTCTCTTGTTCCTTCACAGTGATTCCAGAGAAGCCAAAACGTCAGCAGGTCCGGTTCTCGGGTTGAGGGAGGGTCCAACTACCTGATCTGAGCCTGATGGTCCCACGAGAGGATCATCGCACTGCAACAAGAAGCATGACATCACAGCCATATAGGAATGTTTAGGGGCTGCATGATGGACAAAAAGCTCAGACAAAAGCTCATTCTGTTTCCTCCAACTAGTCATTCCTTTTTTTTGTACTCAATAAGTGATCATTTGGATTTGCAACAGCCTTAGTTTTATCAGTAGAGGGTGAGAAAACTGGGTTCGGGAGGGGCAAGTGCGGTTTGAAGAGCTTGTGAATGATGATGTCATGCATTTTGGGAGTAATAAACTGTAAATATTTTTCCAGTTGAACGGCAGAGAGCCTTCTACATCATCTGGGTGCAATTGCTCGGACGAGAAGTCCTCCAATCCCTTTGCATGATATCCTACCAATGACATCTGCGCATGAGGTTGAATGTCTCCGCAGGGAGAAAGAGAAAACATATGTGAATGTTTTATCTGATGGCTCTTTGTTCTGCTTTAGTACTGCAGAAGCCACTGCATGGGAGTCACTGATCTCTGGCTCCCCCACGTGTTGAATACAACAAAGTGATCCTAAAGTAAATCACAGTATACCACCCGGTAAATGTCCTCACTGCCAAACAAACATTAAAGATTTTTTGATCTGTTAATGTCGGCATTACAAGATCAAGTTTTCAAGTGGCAATTCCTATCCCTTATTTTACAGTATTTTTTTCAAGGACACACAACCAAAGGGCTATCTGATTGTTGTTTGTCACCACTAGGTGGCAGCATAGTGTCAAATCAAACATAAAAATTCCAACATACTCTCTTTAACCTTCAGACAAATTTGATCTGCTCTCCCTGTGCAGAAATTTGTGGGGCAGACAAGGCTTTTGGTGAAGGTGGAGGAGGGGGCTGTTGCAAACAGTTGGATATCATATGGATTTGGGAAACCTCAGCAGTGGCAACCACAGCGACCACATGCACTCACTCTGAGGCCATAACAAAGCCTCTGGGAAACCTAATTAGCAAGGTCAAAGCTAAAAAGTGGGATTCCTGTTTGTCAGATTTAATTCGAATAAATCATGTCAATGATGGGTGGGAGAGTACGTCACATGTGCTCAGAGGCTTCCACGTTCTATTTATCTTAACCATAAGGAGAAGGCACACTTTCAGAAACTGCTAATATTGCAAGTCAACGTTTGAACACACTTTGAGCAGGAAATGTGATTGAAATGCGGATTTTATGCCATGTCAAGCCACTATAGGAAACAGAAATAGTAAAGATTCTTGGTTTAACATATTATCATCTTATTTTATCTCCAGAATGATATATTTACCTTTTCGGGCATCATGTGCTGTGTTATACATCTATTTTTTGAGAACTTGGTAGACCCACTAGTACATTTTAGATATGTTTAGATACAGCATGTACTGTACTGTTGATTCCACCCTAAGGTGTGTTATTATCATTTGGACACGCCACCTTGTATAACAAAGTAGAGGGTGAATGTAATTTTGAAACAAGTTTTTACTGGAAATACTATTCAAACATTGCATTTGCAGAACTATGACTAATCAAAATGAATGTGTAAGATAAAAGTTCTTTAACATCCTACACATGACTTTCGCAACTTTTTTTTATGGCATCCAAATTTCAGAAAATTTTCTCTCAAACTTTCATGTTCTATCTTCCATTAATATGTGGCAACCAGCTGTGCCTTAGTGGTGTAGCAGTTCCAGACATTATTGGTTGTATTGCGGTGGGATAAACCACAAAACTGTCAATTTCTCAGACCTTTGAAATGGTAACACGGTAATCCTCTGTTTGTAAGAACTTTAAACACGGAGATTGGCTGTCTTTCTGTGGTTTAATTTTAACTTGTTTGTTTTGGGCTGTGTCCAACATGCTGCAGATGGACACTTTCTCACAGAGCTCCTCAGCCTGGAGCTTTTTCCTACTCTCCCCAACTCACTCTCTCATCTTTGGGTTTGAGTCTGGGGCTCACCCATGGCCTCAGTGGATCCACTGGTCAGCTAAAATGTCGTGGTGTCTTTTCACTTCATGTCCCTTTGCCCCAGCCATGCTAGTATATGTCAAATAGTCTGTCTAGTCCTGTTTCACTGACGGTTGCATTTCTTCATCCAACCATCACAAAATCCCATTGCAAAAGAACGTAAATAAATAAGTAACAGTTTCTACAGCAGCCAGATGAGCTCCATTGCTGGCTTTAAAGAGGAGATTAGCATTTTAAAAAACATGGCCTGAGGGACTGTGGCTGTCTACGATGTCCTAGAGCGTTTTAGTGTCCATACTGAGAAACAGATAGGGCCCTAATGATTGGCCTTTTACAGATTAATAGAGCACAGCTTGGAACATTGTATGAAACATAATCATTTAGTGAGGGTCATGAGGAGGGTAAGGAGGTAAGATGGTAACACAAGCTAGCTCTTGAGAGTAGCCATTGATTTTTAACACTAGAATCTCATAGGACTAGACTGAGGAAAGGAGAAAAAAAGAAAAAGACTAGTAGGATTGTAATAAGTTGTTGAGGGGCAGCTGAAACAAGATATGCAAAGGCCCAACCCGAGGACAGAGACAAATGAAACCTAATAGTATTTACCACCACTACCCATCTGAACAGCTGCAGAGGACTTTGTTATGCTGTTTGTAAGCACACCTTCTTTTCTCAAATGTTACCAGGATGTCTTTTTAAACCACACCCATGTTCCTCATGCAGCTTTTCATTTGAAACCCAAAGAGAAGACAGATCAGCGATTACCTTGTGAAAGGGAAAGGATGCAGAGATCTTTTTGTTGGCTCAGTAGGAGCTTGAAAGGTCTTGTGACCCCCCCTTCCCCCCTCAGAGGCCTCCTGGGCACCATTAACACCATGAGAGAGGGGCACTGACTTCCAAGGTTTGGTAGGACTGGAGAGTACAGCATCTCAACATCTGGAAGGCATTATGCTGTTGCTGCCCGAGGGTGAAACACAGGGAGACGATGACGGGGGGAGTGATTGTGTGTGTGTTTTGACCAAGCTGTGTGTGTTTTAAGGGGAAAGACTTAATTGCATTGTTTTGTAAGAATTACAGTATGAAACCATGACCTCTTGAGAAATACTTAAAGTTAAAGGAGGGTGGCATTGTAGAAGTAAAAACAGAGATGATGGGAGATAGTGAAATACAGTATACTCTTTCTATGTGTGCTGGTGGGGTGGTGTATGGGTGCTCATGCACAGAGCCTGTATGGCTCTTTGTTCATGCAACCTGTTTGAAAACTGGGTTTTTCACTGGGCGGCAGGATGTAGAGCTCTGGACCCTTGGCAAGAGAGCAGCTCCATCTGAGCCTGGCCTAAAACAAGATGGCTTTGTATGTGCGATTACCATTCTGCCCCTCCCTTCCTTCCCCTAACCCCTACCTATAGGGCCGCAGCCTCAGGCAAACCGCACCAGGTGCTCCCCCTTGTTAGCCTCACAGCAGCTCAGGTCCTGCTGCTTTCAGGGAGCAGCAGTTACCTCAGAGCAACCTGACCTTCACTGGGACCAAAGGCAGAGTGCTCTTTAATCAAGAGTGCTCTGACATCAGCCAGGAGCCAGCGAGAGGCAGGCCAGCTGACAGGGAGCAGCATGTGATACCACAAGTTAGACGCTGCTTATACTACAAACTCTTCTCTTTTGTGCAAAACTACTTTATTGTTAGAGTATGACAGTTAAAAGCTCAACAGACAATCATCTGGCTTGTTGAAGGTCTCATTTTGTTGGCCATAAATGAGACCAGCCCCAGGGCGAAGCAGAGCATTCTGGCATATGGAGTCCTGATCCCTATCTGAACCCACAGATTAATACATAAAGTTAGATTTAAGGTCGGATAGCAATTACTAACTGGCACTTACTAACTGGCACACATGTGATTAATGAAAAACAGAGTTTTGTCAGGCGGGAACATTCTCAGGCATTTTGTGAGATTTTCCTGGCTCTGTAGCTTTCACACCCCCACCCCCTTTGTGTGATATTTTTAAGAGAGAGCTGAGTCCTCTCTATAACATGAACACATGCTGGGCTCCGCCAACTGCCTCAGGCTCACAAGAGACAGGTACTGGACGGTCTTTTCCCCCCTCCTTCTCCTCTTTCACCCCCACATCAACCTGTCAACTGCTCCTCTATCCTCGCTATATGTCCCAATCCTCCTTTTCGTTTCTCCTCTCTCCCGCCATGTCTTGCCGTAAGTCAGCTGTTATTGAGCAGGCATTTAACAGACACTCCCACTGAGACCAGTGACCTCATCAGCGGGCAGGAAGTCAGAGGGTTCAAGTTCCCCCTGTGAGAGTAATCCCACACATCTCTGTGTATTAGATTCAGGAGAGAGGAAAGCGTTGAGGGGCTATGGGGGTGTGGAGCCCCCACACTCACTAGGTTCTCACTATCAGACCAGGCCACATCATCATTGTCATCACATGACCACAGGCTTTGGCGTAAGCTACTCTGGAAGGAGAAATCCCAGTGGAAAAGTAGCTAGATCCAGGTGTCTCTACTTCCCCAGCTCCAAACGGTTGCAACGTGGCAGTGGAACAATGTGGAGGAAGAGATCAGATTAGAAAAGAAAGAAGCAAAGAGGAAGGAGCTTTTAACAAATGATGAAAGACATTTGTATATTTAACCGTTAATGGACAAAGACCTGGTGTGTATATGACCATTAATAGACAAAGACTGCTCTGTCCCCATTTACATCAGGGAATAATCATTAATTTGAAACATCACAGACACACAAACTGATTGGTTGCTATTTCCCTGAAGTGGGTCAATGACCTTGACTGTTTGTAAGGCCCTTCCTGCCAAAGTTCTGTTGCCTCAACAAATGACATCAGTGGGGAATATATAAACTAACGTTGATTCAACTCCTTGCTGGACACACCCACCTGGTCTTATCAGCATAGTACATGGAGTTTCTTTGTGGTTATGTTTCAAGATTTAAATATTTCTATAAGTCTAATAACACTATCTTACTATAGTACATACACTCAAAACTCTGTAAAGCTATCTTTCCGTCACACTGCTGGATGTTTTGTTCAGAGAGTTTTTTGTGCTACACTATTGATCCGTTTCCACTGTATCCATCAAAACTGTGGCATGTGAGTACATATTTACAGTGGATCAATGGAGCACCAATTAAATGTATCCCGGAGCTATGTCATGAAAACACATAGGCTTATGAATGGACAAGCATATTATATGGCCCACACATTAGTCCACACATCCAATCTGACCAAGCACTCAGAACTGTAAACACACATTATAATAAATTTCTTTCACCTCCCACTCTAAACCTCTTTCAGTGAGCCAGAAGTGAGTGAGTTGCAACACGTTTGTTACCAGCAGGTCTCACTTTGTGCTGACTCCGCAGAAAATCACTTAATTTCCAGAGGGTTGCGTCTGGGCTTGGCCACTCCTGGCATGCACGCACAAAGACATGAGCACTGCCAGAAAGTCCATAGCACTTTCACAGAGAAATACAGAGAAACCCCAGAGAAGCACACAAGACCATGCAAAGATCGAATAGAGGGTGTGTATGTGTGTATGTGTGTGTGTGTGTGGGGGGGGGGGACTCAGCTCATCACAGATCTTTGCCGAAGGGAACATTGACGGGTTTGTGCCCAGATGTGTGGGAGGCAGACAGAGCTGAACAGTCATATCCAGTGTTTGTGAATTTGTTCCAACTCTTCAGACACGGTCCATTCTCCTCAATAAATCTGCCGTACTTCCCGGCACTTGGCGTCAGTTACTTGATCACTGATTCTAGCACACACAAATAATTCGCTTTTTTGGCCTTGAAGAACAGTATTCATGTGCACGTCTTCTTCTACACACTAGGGTTGTAGCAGAGTAACAGAAGGAAGTGTTAACGTGTATTTTTTTATCTCAGACTCATTGTTCAGGAAAAAGAATGCAGTGATAAAGTGATGCAGTTTAAACAGCAACACATGTCTATGAGGCCCACTGTCACCAGGCCATATCACAATCAGCCCCCTCTGCAGAAGACGCACAGTCAATGTGGAGGCTCTATGTGTTTAAGGGCCTTTTCTCCCCTCCATCTGACTCTGTGCCAATATTCATACTTTAGTGAAACAGAACATTCAGATAGAGACAGCAGTGAGACTGGGAGGACATTCACTGATAAACTCTGAACTCTCACAATGAGAACATTCAGACTTTGTTGCCAGGGATGAGCTGCTCTTTTCACGAGGCCTCCAGCTCTAAACCACAGGTTACAGATGCTTTCATCGCTCGGTGGAGAACTAAATATGCTGGAAAATGTACCTAATGTCATATGAAACTGAGTTAAAATTACTTTGAATCAGAGCTTGTCACAGATAGAGAGCTATTGTATGGATTGGAAAAGGTCGTCAGTATCGAAATGAGTCTATGGAAAGATTTATGTAACTTGTGATATATAGATTGAGGGGGAAAGAGAGTGGAAGAGAGATAGCATGTGAAAGTGAGAGAAAGTGTGTCTGTGGAGATAAGTGTGGGTCACTGGAGTCTGGCTGCTCAAGGGTCAAGAAGGTCAGCACTGATGCAGGAACGTGGAACGTCATGAACCATTGCTGTGTGGGAAAAC